TCCCTTGGGCTGAGCTCGTGACTCTCGACCTGAGTCAATACGACCAGCCGGGAGGTAAGGAAGAGCTTGTCAAGCAGCTGGACCATGCCGTGCGCCATGTGGGTGAGTATTCGTACCCCTCGCAACCACCGCAACGAACATCTTCAGCCCTAACCCCGCCCTCAAGGCTTCTTCTACGTGAAGAACTTCAACATCAGTCAAGATGAGATCGACCTCCAATTCGCACTTGGCCGCGAGTTCTACGCTCTTCCCTTGGAAGAGAAGCTCAAGTACCACAACAGCGCCGATCTCGCGAGTGGCGAGTACAACGGCTACAGGCCTGCTGGCCACCGCGTGTAAGCTCTCCCATCTGATTCAACTCATAAACCTGGTTGACATTCCCCAGTCTCGGTAACGGCATTCGGGATAATATTCAAGTCTACAACATCCCCAAGTTCGACGGATACCACAAGCGCCAGCAACCACCTGTGCTGGAAGACAATATTGCAGAGATCGAAGCATTCAGCCGGGTAGGCCGCTTTCTCCCTCCCGCAGTGATTACACAAGTCACTAAGCGAATGTCCAGAAATGCCACAGCGAAGTCGTCGTCAAACTCCTCCGCCTCTTCGCGATCCTTCTCGAGCTCCCCGATGAAGACCAACTTGTCCGTGACCACCAGTACGACGTCAAAGGGGAAGATCACCTCCGCTACATGCACTACGCTGCGCGCAGCAAGGAGGAGAACTCCCAAGTGGCCAGCATCTACACCCCCGGCCACACGGACCTTGGCACTGTGACCCTCCTATTCCGCCAGCCCGTGGCAGCGCTCCAAATCCTCAACTCGGAAGGGGAGTGGAAGTGGGTGCGTCCGCAGGACGGGACAATCACCATCAACACGTGCGATGCATTGACAGCGCTCACGGGGGGGCTGATCAAGTCGAGCATTCACCGGGTACATGCTCCGCCGCCGGATCAGGCGCATGTCGATCGGTTGGGGGTTTTGTACTTCGCACGGTGGGTTTGCACTTTTCATCCGTCGTACTTTCCCCAATGAAATGCTAATATGGAGGATATAGGCCCAACAACCATGTGGTACTGGATCCGATCACGAACAGCCCGCTGCTGAACCGGCTCGGACTCACCCAGAATGTGTTCACAGAGTTGGGGCAGCATTTGACAACGGAGCAGTGGGTCAGGGTGCGGCAGACGCAGCAGCAGCGCCGCAATCGGGATGTGAAGGTCTCGGATGATGGGAAGTTCACATATGGGGAGAAGGACCTGGAGATTCTGCCTGGGCTGGAAGCCAAGATTTATAATTAGCAATTTCCAATAGGATAACTACCGGATCTGCATTCACCTGCACGCTGCACGTGACGGTCATCCCAGCTAAGCCGTGTTTAGAATTTAGCTGTGATTTCCCAGTTTTCACCCTTACATTCACGGGTTGCACTTGCCTCACACTTACCTTAAGCGGTGAGTTGCGGTTCACCTTGGTTCACCTCTCCTCCTGCGAGAGACTGGGTGGAAACAACCTCAACATATCTTGATGCACAATTCTCTCCTCTGTATGGTCTTGTTTCTTTGCTACGATGTTGCCACAGTGTGGGATTCGATCCAGTCTGGGTCGAGCGGCTAGAAATCCAGTCTTTCGACAACAGATCAAGAAGTTTCATTACGCGAAACGCTTCCCAGCGACCCAGCTGAGGTACCTGACAGCTACTGGTCTTGCCGCCACGTCGGGCCTGTATTGGTGGTGGTCCTCCTCAGCCAACAGAGATGGCGTGCCCCTGCCTGATGAAGAACCTGCTCAGAATCTAGTCGTCCAGCCTCCTTTCTCCCACGAGGAAGTCACACGCACTCTATCCAAAGACTCATACTCCTTTTCAGTGCGAGATGTTCCTGGCATCGACCGTCATGATGGCGCCCAGCTCGCATCTAACAGCCCCTGCGAGGACCGGCTCACCTATGCCAAGTTTCCTTCCCCGTGGCACAGCGACAAAGAACCCTGGATGGCGTGGGCGGTTTTCGACGGTCATGCCGGCTGGCAGACGGCAGAGCTACTGAAGAATCAGCTCGTTCCCTCTGTGCGCCACAGCCTGAGCCAAGTGACGCCCATTACGGACGGAAACCAGTCGGTCGCGGGCGTGGATACGGTCCCATGCGCCATCAGCAATGCCTTCGTGAATCTCGATGATGCCATTTTCAAGACCGCCATGGAGGCGTCGCAGAGTAATGAGCCTCTTCACCAGAGGGTCCGCGACCTTCTCCCGGCCTTTGCTGGCTCCTGTGCATTACTATCGATCTTCGATCCGGACACCAGGGCATTGCACGTGGCATGTACCGGTGACTCACGCGCCGTGCTTGGACGACAGCAGCCCGACGGGAGGTGGGAAACAATTCCTCTGTCCATTGATCAGACTGGGAGCAATGAGGAGGAGATTGCCCGAATCTATAGCGAGCACCCGGGCGAGGAAGACATTGTTCAAGGTGGACGCGTACTGGGACTGATGGCCTCCCGGGCGTTTGGGGATTGTCGGTGGAAATGGCCGGTGGAGTTCCAGCAGGAAATCCGCCAACGATTTTACGGCCCCGCACCGCTGACCCCCCGCTACGACATTCGCACCCCGCCCTATGTGACTGCCCAGCCGGTCGTTACCACCGTCAACATTGATCCGACACAGCCTTCGTTCCTGATCATGGCGACGGATGGTCTGTGGGATATGCTCTCCAGTCAGCAGGCGGTCGATCTGGTCGGGAAATGGCTGTCGGGAGGCGTGGAGACTGGGAAGGGCAGCGCCACATCCCCCGCAGCCTCCGACAAACCCTTCGATTTTGGTCATTTCTGGGAAGGCGTCAACTGGAAGTTTGTGGAGGGCCGAACGACCGTGCAGGATGACAATGTGGCGGTGCACCTGGTGCGTAATTGCCTTGGTGGCAGCGATCTCGAGTTGTTAGAAGGGAGGTTGGCCTTTGACCCTCCGTTTTCCCGGACTCTGCGTGATGATATTACTGTGCAGGTGGTGTTTTTCGGGGTTCCAAACTTGAAGAACAAGGACGAAAATTGACGTGGACTGTGGAATTGCTATCGCGATCAGCGAGGATTCGGAATGCTTGGACTGGAACTCAGGCCATGTAGCTTATCCTCCGCCGGCTAGATTCAAAGACAATATGAGTAGTATGCCACCTTGCAAGCTTGTGCTATATGCCACTGTATGTGGATCAATTACAGTACCTGTTAGACCCAGAGAGGTCGGCCTCGGAGGTTCGATCGCCAAGCTTCAGTCCCAACTCCGGTGGAGAAATCCTGCGTAACCATTCCATGAATTCTCCGCTGGCTACCTTGATTGTAGTGTTCTTGGCAAATCCCTCTGGGTCTGTGGGGAAATGCTGGAGTCGACGAACAAACTGCATAAATAAGGCCGGTCTCCCGTCTCAAGCCCTGTCACAGGCCACAATCGAAATCACCTACCTCAGCAATGCACATCTCCTCCCTTCTCTCGGCTACAGCCCTTGTGGCTGCCGTCACCGGCGCTGTCCTACCACGTCAGGACGATTCATACTACGGCTACCTGCTTTCCACATTCACGGACGCCGACCCGCGGGTCTTCTGGTACCTGTCTACTGCCGACGATCCCCTGGCATTCACGGCCCTCAATGGCGGCAGTCCGGTGCTAGAATCGACTGTCGGGACCAAGGCTGTGAGGGATGTGTTCCTCACGGCCAACCAGGAGAAGTCAGAGTATTTTGTCATCGCCACAGGTGCGTATCCCCCTCCACACATCTCAGGAAGGTGCACCACCACGAAACAACCGTGACTAACGGGTGTAGATCTGGATATCAACGCAGACGGATTCTCATGGGACGAGGCCACGCGCCGGGGCAGTCGAGGCCTGACGGTGTGGCGATCGGAGGATCTGATCGACTGGTCTGAGCCTTCCTTGGCAATGTAGGCCATCCCACACGAGACCGGCAGTTCCAACACACTCGCTAACATGCGCCATCCAGCATCGAAGACGCAACCGCCGGCATGGCCTGGGCCCCTTCAGTGGTTTGGAACACGACCGAAAGCCAATACTACCTCTTCTGGTCGTCGCGCCTCTACGACCCCACCGACACCAACCACACCGGCACGGCCACCCTCGACCGCATCCGCTACACCACCACCACCGACTTCGTGACCTTCGCCCCGCCAGCCGACTACCTCGCCCTGGACAGCGAGAACATCCCTCTCATCGACCAGGAGTTCCTGGCCCTCGGGGACGCACCCGGCCACTACGCGCGGTTCCTCAAGGATGAGAACGTCCTCCACGTCTACCAGGAGACCACCACGGGGGGCCTGTTCGGCGAGTGGACCCGCGCGGAGGGGTATATCCAGGATGGGGTGGTGTATGAGGGCCCCGCGGCGTTTCCGGATATTCAGGACGCCGACAAGTTCCACCTGCTGCTGGATAATTATGTCGAGTATGTGCCGTTCGAGAGTACGGATGTTGCCGCGGCGGAGTGGGTGGCCTCGGATCGCACGGGGTTTCCGTCGGGGTTGAAGCATGGGAATGTGGTGCTGGTGACGAAGGGGCAGTATGATGCTCTTGTTGCACGATATGGAGTGTAGAGTCGAGGGTTGCGGGGATGGGGATGAAGACGGAGAAAATGGGCTGATCGACGGCGTCCCGTCGGGATTTTGCCGGTTGGGGTTAGGGTTCTGTTGCTGAGGACTTGGCGAGGAGGTTGACTGCCAAGTGCCAAGATGGAGGGGATCAGGTTTGAAGGATGATGATGATGATGATGATGATGATGATGATTTCCTGCATGTTCAAGTCATTCTCCCCGGCAATGGAATGGGAATGTTTAGATGGGGCTGAAGATAGGATGTCCGTCTTCGTGGCTGCACTACTATATGCCGTCAGGTTGATTGAGAATACATCCTAATATGAACACTTTCCAATCTTTGATACTTGATAGCTATCAAGAAGCCATTCTACATGCACTCAGCAAAATAGAAATTGACCCACCAGCAGAAGCCCCTACTCTACCCAATACTTCCTCGCCCACTCCTCCGCCGTCAACGCCCGCAACCCCACCTGATAATTCCACGTCTCCTGCAAATCCCACGCGACGCCCCTCCCCTCCCCAAACACAACCTGGTACTTGAACAACCCATTGCCAGGCTCCTTCTTCAAATCCGCTCGCGCAGCCTCCACTGTCCTCACCTCCCGCTTGAATTCCCTGCCAGTAACCCTCTCCACCAGCCCCGCTAACTCCCCGTAACTCAAGGTATCCCCCGCCACCTTCAGTACCTGATTCCCAACCACCCCTCCCCAAGACCCCCCGAGCACCACCTCCGCCGTAATCCTCCCAATATCCTCCACGGCCGTGACCGTCACCCGATTCTCCCAGCTCCCCAGCGCCCGCACAGCCCCCGCACGGGCATCCACCACCCCGAACCCCGCATCAAAGAGGAAGCTGGTGAACATACCCGTCGACACGATCACCCATTGCGTCGCAGTCTGCGAGCGGAGCAACACCCGCACGTCCAGCTGCTCGTCAAACAGCTCCTGCGCTGATCCCCGGCCGATCACGTCGTAGTCTACCCCGAACTGCCAGGGGATGTAGCGCGGGACCTGCGCGGCGAGGACGGCGCGCGCGAGCTTGAGCTGCACGCCGGGTCCGGCGGCGAAACCCGTGCAGCTGATGATGGTGTCGTAATTGCGGAAGAGCTGCGTCAGGTGAGACTCTGGGTCTGTGGCGATGTCGCTGGGGAGAGAGTCGATGTTGAGAGTGTGCAGGGTGGTGGTGAGTTCGTCGTTGGGGGAAGCGATGCGCGAGGGGCGGAGGAGGACGGTGAGTTGCGTGGCGCCGCGGTTGGGGTGCGCGGCGAGCGAGCGGAGGACTTGCGTGCCTAGTTCCCCGGCGCCGATGACTAGGATGTTCTTGGGGGTGGAGGACATGATGGCTGTGTAGTGACTCGACTGAGGAACTATGTTGGTAAAACCAAAGTGGGGGAGTTACTGGCTTATATGTGCTTGTTGTGGATTTATAATCAACTTTCAGTTGCAGTTCAGGGTTGGTCAACTGGCAAGCATCGGCGACTTTGCTACGGGATTTCGCCGCCTCGCCTCCTGCTAAGCTACTTCTCACTCCACTGCGGCCATCCCAGATATCCCTCCTCTCCGGAAGTGTAGAAGGTAGGTCGATGGTACTTGGTCAAGGGCAGTCCCCTAAACAGCCGCTCTGGCAGATCCGGATTGGACGTGAAATACCGCCCGAAGGCCGCGAGATCGATGCGACCTGCAGTCACTGCCGCGTCAGCCAAGCGGAACCCTAACTCATCCACGTTAACTGGGCCAAACTCACCTTCCTCTATAGCCTGCGCAGCAGAGACAGCATCATACCCACCAGCCCCAATAACCGGCGTAGTCTGCAGAATCCTCCGAAAAGGCCAAATCGACCTCTCCTCTCCCCCCTCATCCACCCTCTTTTCCCGTGCAATACACCCCGAGAACGCCCCCTCCGAACTCCCCAAGTCATACCGCGGCTCCACGAAATGCACATACGCCAACCCCCTCGCCTCCAGCGCGGCCGCAAACGCCCCAAACGTAGCCACCCGATCACCATCCCCGGTGCCCTGGAGCACATGAAACGGCGCCAGCCGGACCGCCGTGCGCCGCGCTCCCACCGCATCCACCACCGCATCCACCACCGCCAAGGGGAACCGCAGCCGATTGCTCACCGCCGGCCCACCGTACTCATCCCCCCGCGTATTGATATTATCGTGCACAAAGCAATCAAGCAAGTACCCGTTGGCTGCGTGGATCTCGACCCCGTCGAACCCCGCGACCGCGATCGCGCGCCGCGCCGCCGCAGCAAACTGCGCCACCACCTCGTGGATCTCGGGGATCGTCATCGCATGCGAGGGGACGTATGCCTCGCGCTCCGCTTCGTCGGGCCCCCCCGCCCCGAACGAGACATGGTACCCCGGTAGATGGGCGGTCGTGGAACTCAGCGGCGGCTGGCCGTGGAAGAGACGCGGCACGGAGACGCGGCCCACGTGCCAGAGCTGCGCGAAGAAGGTCCCCCCGCGCGCGTGCACGGCCGCCGTGATGGGTTGCCAGGCCCGGGCGTGCCCGTCTGTCCAGAGCCCCGGGGTGCGTGGGAAGCCCTTGCCCCGCGGATGGATGGTTACTCCCTCGGAGATGAGGAGCGCGCCGGGCTGGCTGGTGCGTTCGGCGTAGTACGTTGCTGCCGTGGGGTTGATGAGGCCTGTTGTGTTGGAGGCGCGCATGCGGGTCATTGGGGCGAGGACGACGCGGTGGGTGAGGGTGAGGGCGGGGCTGGTGAAGGGGGCTTGCAGGGGGGAGGGGCTGCAGGAGCCCATTTTGAGGTGTTGTGGTTGGGGTTGGGGTTTGGGTGTTGATGGGGGGTTTGCCACTAGGGGAGTCTGGGATGGGGATGGGGATGGGAATGGCGGGATGGGGTGGTTAGGGCTTTAAATACCGTGCGGAATATGCCCGGCACCCCGAAGGCGTGGTAGTGGCTGCTTTCCTGCTGCTTATCAATCCGGTTATATAGGCCAGATAAACTAATATCTCGGTAGCATGCAATGCCGCTCAAAGGGCGCCATGTGCTCATGGACATCGTTCCTTCGCATTCATAATTCGCCGTATCGTTGCAGGCCGGTGCCAATTGGATTTGTAAGCCCTACATGATAGGGTTCTGCGGGAGGTGGTCGTATCAAAAAGATGGCTTGGAGCTACTGTTATCAAATGTCCTCCGCATGGTTGTCGACTCATTATTGAGCCAAAATCTCTTCGTCGTTCTCCCTAACATTTGTATGGCAATTCACTACTAGATGTAGCCATTTCCGCCCAAATCGCCCTCCCAGCCTCCTCTGATGCACCGTCCAGCCAGGCGAACGACTGCAGAACTTGTAGAAGGCCATCCCAAGAGTCAATCCCAAGCACACTACAATACTCCCTCATCCTAGCTACAAACCAATCCCTGATAGACGGAGTAGCATCCGTACAGATCCCCGCCACCATGCAACACCATAGAAATATCTCACATTCATGGTTTGCTATCTCGCGTCCCTGCAGCCGAACCATATCCTCCTGTATCCCCTTCGTCAGCGTAGCCCGTAACCGTGACATTTTCGGAAGAGGCAGGACCACGCTGGCGCCATAGAGGAGGGCTGTACTCCGACACATAAGATACACGGCAATCGAATGTGCCTGGTCCTCCGCCGTACATCCCGGTCTCTTATGCAAGATGGCGCTGGCCCGGTCCCTGTGATCAGGCAGACTGCACAGCCGATGCAGGACGCTGGCCCGCGTATCGCCTATCTGCGTCAGCAGGGTGGCGCCGCAGGTCCGGCTGCTGAGAACATGGAGGGCGTGGGTGATCTCGTTTAGATCCAGAAAGACGCGAATGATGTTGCCCTTGACTGGTGGGGAGAGCAGAGCCAGCTGCTGGAAGCCATGGTTGCGGAGCGTGGAATGCCGCGGTGGCGTGCGGATGGAGAGGGCTTGCAGGGGAGCGCGGTGTAAGCATGGTTTCCCCTCAGGGGATATAAGTGAGAATACGGGTTTGCGGTGTGTATTTATCGCGATGATCAGGCCCGATCTGGAAAATGGTCTCATTTATTAGCATGAGTTTAAGGGGGGGACGGAATGGGAAACGAACATAGAAATCAGCCAGGCCAGTCCGTACAGCTTTACCGTCTCGAGACCTCCCCGCTCGAGAACGATATGCTGGACAGTCTGCCAGTGGAGCGGGTGGAACTCGCAGCTGCCGTAGAATTCCATGAGCTGCAGGCTGCGAAAGGGCGGGACAAATGGGGTCGTGTCCGGTGGCTCGACATGGTCGAGGTTCTCATTGGCGGCGAGGTACAAGATGCTCAGCAGGATGTCGTCGACCCAGTCGCAACCGATGTTGTGTTGAGTGACGGTCGACAGCTTCTCCCGGATACGGACCATGACGGATCCTTTGAGTCGGAGTTGCTCTGCCGTGTCCAACGAGACCTGCTTGGTGGCGCCCCGTATCATTGGGAGGGCGTTGAAGTGGAGGGAGGCCGAGTACAGCATCGATTGCACGACCATCGGGCTTCTGGTGGGGTGCAGGTAGGCCTGCAAACTGCGCTCGGCAAATTCGCAGGGGCGGGCCATTGGCCACAGCACATGGATGCCTCATGCAGGGTTAGCGGGCTGCCACGTCTTCGCTATGAAAGTATGACCTACAGTGGTGGAGAAGGAGATTGAAATGAGGGGTTTCTTGGTAACGATCTGCGAGGAAGGGATCGATCTGGCTGTGGCCGAACTCCCAGGGCTTGGTGATAGCAGGGAGTCGCCCGTGATCAGACCTGATACCAGCGCATCTGACACATATTGTTGCACTAAGGCCTGTGTCAGAAAGAGGCCTTGGTCGAAGAGCTCGTGGATGTCGAGGCGTGCAAGCCTGATCAGTAGGCGTCCTGGCTCGCGCAACCTCGAGACCATTTGCAAGCACTTCCTCGGTGCATAGGCAGACGAGCAAACCCGGCGTCATACATTGGTCATAAAGACTGCCGTTTACCTTCTTTGCTCTCTCACAATGTCGGCGACGCATCAGCTGCGAGCGAATCAGCGAGGCGTTGCTTGTGGTTCCTCGTATCGTCGGGCCGTGTACGAAAGTGTACGGGTATGCTGCTCCTTCATCAGAGGCCATGTTGCTCTGACATTTCTCTCTCTGTGGATGTGGGTCGTAGTCTACACCGCTCGATCTGTGGGCAGATGAATTTGTGACCGTAGAAGGGATTTGGATAAACCGTTGACGATAAGATCATTAGCCGGAAAAGGTAATATCTCCCTCCTGCTGATTGGGTGAAGCTCCCGCCGCTAGAAAATCTGCCAAGAAGCCCTAAGCATGAATGAGCTGACAGGCAGGAGATGTTTTGGCAGTCGAAAACACTTGATGATCTCAGATACGAGGGCAGTGACAAAGAGAGTGACTAGGATGCTGACAAATAAGTCGTCATCCAGTTCTCCCCGAGCTCAAGGTTCCAGAGCGTGTTCGGTACGCCCAGAATGGCGGGGTATATGTTTGCAGGTGTCAGATTGACCCCACCTCAAGTCCCTCGATCAATTTTCACAACCTGCACTTTCTGTTATTTCCATCCTATCTATCATAGTTTCTGAGCCATGGCGAGCACTCAGCTGAAGAAACTCGAGCTCCCCACCTCCAAAGCCCATGTCTTCTACCGCGAAGCAGGAGCAGCGTCAGCCCCGGTCATCCTCCTCCTGCACGGCTTCCCCTCATCCTCGCACCAGTACCGCAACCTCATCCCAATCCTGGCCGCAAAATACCGGGTCATCGCGCCCGATCTACCGGGCTTCGGCTTCACTGAGGTCCCGGAGGGGTTTGCATATACCTTTGACGCGCTTGCCACCGTCATCGCCGAGTTTCTCGACCGCCTCGCCATCCGCCAGTACTCCATCTACATCTTCGACTACGGCGCCCCCGTCGGTCTGCGCTTGGCGCTGCAACAGCCGGCCGCCATCGAAGCCATCGTCACGCAGAACGGCAACGCCTACGAGGCCGGGCTGGGCGCCTTCTGGGAGCAGATCCGGGCGCTCTGGACCAGCGACAACGATGCGGCCGTCCGAGGAAAACTCGCGGCGGGCCTGCTGAGTCTCGCCGCCACCAAGTGGCAGTACGAGGAGGGGACGGCCGCGGACCGCGTCGTGGCACCCGAGTCCTACTCGCTGGATTATGCCCTGCTCCAGCGTCCGGGCAACGCGGACATCCAGCTGGATCTGTTCTGGGACTACCGCACAAATCTGCCGCTGTACCCGGAGTTCCACCGCTACTTTCGCGCGTCACAGGTGCCCCTGCTGGCGGCCTGGGGCAAGCATGATCAGATCTTTGTGCCGGCGGGAGCCGAGGCGTTCAAGGCCGACTTGCCCGAGGCGGAGGTGCATCTGTTGGATGCGGGCCACTTTGCGGTGGAGACGGAGACGGCGGAGATCGGCGGGTTAATCCTTGACTTTTTGGCAAGGAAGGGAATCTAATATTAGGTGAATGATCTGGATTGTAGCCTCCTGCCACTGGTGGGGTCGGTGGGGACGCGCCTGTGTGGACGGCACTCTTGCGTTGTTTATGCTGCATCATGGCTGAACAGCCAAAGTGTCGGTTTTGTGTAATACGTCGAGATTATCTTTTACATCGGAGTCCTAATTCAACCTCATACTATAGATGATATTTTCGGAGAGATCAATGAGATCAATTCGAAAGTATAGCCCAGAAGGGGCTGGAGGCTATGGGTAATACTGACTCGTACGTGTGTTGAAGAGGCGACAATATTTTAGCGTACAAACATGAACACCGCAATTTAAGTAGACCATGTGTCTGATATGATGACCGACTTGAAGGTACAAGGCTTGATTGACATAGATGAGTGGTATACCACCACCAGTATCATTTGTGAGGACTTGAGTTGCCGCAAGCTCTACCCAGAGATATCATGATATATGATGAGCAACTCATCAGAGGTCGTTGATTGACTCGTAGATCTTGGGTTTGCATGTACTGAGGGCCTCGTCGCAATAACAGCCGGCGGGGCACCAGGGATGCTGCCAGGTGCAGTAACCACCGCACTGAGCAGTTGGGAATTCTTTCACCATTTCTGGGTATCCGCAGGAACTAGGTAGTAATGTATATATGAATAGATTACTGATCAATAGTAGGTTCATTGTGAAGGACTCTTCATCATGTAGTTCGCTGAGAGGTTTTAGGTTGGATGTGATGTAGGTGAAGTCCAAGGTCAGATAGAATAAACACCAAAGGGTTGATGGCATTGAAATAGCTAAAAATAATAAGCTCAGGTCTATCACTCACATACAACAGCAAGACCACGAATCAGTTACCGCAAGCAGACACCATTCGTGTTATGCTGCAATGGTGGTGATGCTTCACTTGGTATGACATCATATCACATGACATACAAGGTATATGACTGTTTAGCATAATACGAGGTGATTCTGATGTAGGACACTGTTGCGCCTGGAATATATGCTAAGTGCAGTGTTCCTATGGCATCCAAACCCTTATTGCTTAATACAATAGGTCCAAGGATCTACTTGATGTGTCTTTGCCTTCCCTGCCCTGAAGGATCGTTGGCGCTGTGCATAGTTCACTTAGAGAGAATGACGTTCTCCAATAAGAAACTTTCTATAATCCGGGAGCATTTAGAGTAATGGAGCAGATCGTGTATGAAAGCGAGGTCGAGTGAACAGGTAGCCCTATCAAAATGATACGCGCTGCCGGCTGCATCATGCTCAAGATTCGAGCCCGGTTGGCACGCTCCAGTGTGACTCTAGCCCAATCTGCAGTTGAGGTTCAACCCGAAGAGCTGCGACAAGAGATATTTGGGCGATACTACTGCCGATCTCTCGATCAAAGTCATGGACGAAACATAATGGCTGCGTTTAACAATGAGAGAATCCCGTCCGGACATTGAGGGGCAAGAGCATTCAATAACCCGCTAGCAAAAGGTGAGCCTCGTCCTTCAGCTGGTCTATACTTGAATACTTTCCCTGCCAACACTTCGCAATGATCGATCCACATAGCACACCCTCGACATCTGGAAAGGAGGCAGGCCAACACAGGTCTGGGTTCTCGGGATTGAAGAAAAAGTATTTATGAGCCTGCCAGGCTGCGATGGAGTAGATAACCGAACCCAGATGGAGGATCTCGATCTTGGCATACAGATCATTTTCCGTGATCGAACCCATACCAGCGTCGCGGGGTAACAGGATTGACTGTCCAAAGTCGGCTACTTTGAGCTCCTCGTTCAGAACCAAGATATTGCGGAGAGCAATGTCATCCACGAACACTTTGCAGGAGTGTATACATGCGAAAGACTCGATCAAGCTTGCAATCCACCTTAGCTTCAAGGCATCCTCCCGCTCAGGATACTCGTTGAGATGGGACTCGAGATCCTCTTGCGCTCGGGCCAGCTCGATGCCATAGTGGGAGGTTCGGTAGCACGGGATTATGCCTTGGTGACGCCCCAGGCGTTCGAAGACGTCGATCTCATTTTTCAAGGTTTCCCGGTTGATCTCGTTGAGGTATTCGGTATCCTCGGGGTCGCGGGTCGGCCCCGGGTGATGGCGCTTAGCCTTCTTGACCACCCGGTCTTGCCCTACTTCATGAATGACCCCAGTCATGCCAATGCCCATGACTGGGAGATTGATATAAGGGTCATTTGAGAGTAAACAATGTTGAGTCGTGCTCGGTTGGATGAGAGTGGAAATGGGCTGCATCCTTTCGTCAGAGTGTCTTGAGTGGGCCTGACAAGATGACCCAGGCCTTGCGTCGTGGGCTTGGGCTATTGGGTGTTCGTGCTCGAGCTGCATATTTGCCGAATGGTGGGAAAATAGCACGGTAGGAGGAGTTGAAATTAGAAGATGCCACCGCGGGGAGAGGCAGATATTTAAATAATGGGAGGCTGGGCTGAGACCCGGCTGTCTGCATGGCTGCAGCATTGGCGTTTCCAATAGGCAATAATCGGCGCTGGCACTTCATCCATATTCCCAGAACTATGCATAGAGCGCTAGAAGGGGACACCATCTGGAAACCTTCGTTTCTGTTCATTATACACAAAAGCAAAAAGCACAGCCGAAAGAAAAATAACGAGAAACAGACACAGTGGAATTTCCTGCACGCTGCATCATCCCCGAATCAAAGCGAAGAGGTCAGAGACATCCTCCAAATCCTCCAACGAAAGCACAGCCTCCTCCAGGCGTTGCATGCGAGCGTCATCGCCCACCGTCCGCGCCAGCCTGCGCCATTTCTCGCGAATCTCCTCGTCAGTGATCGGCGGGTCAAACCCACGGGGCATGGCCACGGTCTCCTCCACCGTCACCCCGTCCGCGAATTCCACAACCACCCTTGCTCCGCAGAGACGGTTAGGCCGGTCAAACTCCTCGTCACGGACGCAAGTCGTCTTGCGAATCAACTCCCAGACGCGATCAGCGTCCAACGCCGCCGCGTCGAACTGCTCCAGCAGCACCTGTCCGTACACCAGCTGCGCCGCCCCGATGTACGCCGCGTTCATCTGGGCCCCTGTGGCCGTGAGCGGCCGCTCAGCCGGCACCCAGCCATCATGCGCGAAGACCGGCTCCGACAGCGCTACCCGGATACTCCGAATATGCTGCAAATTCTCCCGAGCAAACCGATCCGGATACGTCTCCTGCAGCCGCTCCAACGCCTCAACCTGCCCGTGACAACCCCCAACACAGGCATGCAACTTCACCCGGATGTGGGTGGTCTGCCAGACCCGCCCCAACCCCGCGGTCACCTCTTCAGGCTGGTACGGCGGCTCGCGCCCGTTGCCCTGGCTGAACATGGCCAGAAACCCGCCGTAGGGCCGCTCGAACACCTTCCGGATGCCCAGGTAGCCGTTGCGCGCCAGCAGCGCCCCGAACAGCCCGTTGCGCGCCGCGAACGCATGCTGCACCCGCTTGATCATCCCCTCGTACTGGGCCGCCATCAGCCCGCCGGCCTGCGTGCATGCGATGCCGATGGCAGACTCGGTGGCTGCGCTGTCGAGGTTTAGGAGCTTCGAGGCGGCGGCGGCGGCGGCGGGGCAGCCGAAGATCGGGCCCGAGTGCCAGCCGCGTGAGAGGAGCTCGGCCCCGTACATGGCGGCGCCGGCGCGGGGCCCGGTTTCGAAGCCTACGATTGCTGCGGTGAGGAGTTCGAGGCCGGAGACGACTCGTCGGGGCTGCTTTTGGCTTCCGTGCGATTGGACCTCGGCTGCGGCGAAGAGGGCTGGGAGGATGACGCTGGCCGAGTGGAGCGGGGCGGCGCTGTGGTAGTCGTCTAGCTCGACGGCTTGGATGAATGCTCCGTTGAGGATGGCGGCGGCGAGGGGTCCGTATTTCTGGTGTGCATGAGTGTTCGATACTCGGAGGACACTGGGGACAGGGGTCAGACCTTGTTGGAGTCCAGCACACTGCAGTAGCCGGCAGGCTCGTAGTCGTCGATGGCATCGATGCACTTCTCCGACCACGGAACGTGCGCACCTACTATCCCGCAGGCTATGCCGTCGAGGATGAGATGTTTTGCCCGTTGGAGCACATGGGTGGGGATCTCAGAGGCTTGAAGGGATGTGACCCAGTCGCAGAGGTCTGCGGTAACCGGTTGCTCTTGAGGGGCAGATTCGGAGGTGGTCATGCCGATGCTGATAAGTTGATATGCTTCTGTTCTGATCGTGAAGTTATCTTAAGAGGGGGATTGATGATACTATATAGATTGAGCGTCCGTACTGGAAAGTGCGTACATCTCCCGGCCCCGGCCTGCATGATGCCTGTACCGGCCCGCTACCGGCATCACTTCTTACCCCCGGCCGATCATGCAATGCAGTTTGATGCACATCTCCGAGGACCGAGAAAGCGGCAAGATGCGCCAATCCGCTTATGCTTCACATACCACCATATTGTTCTGCCGGGACAGGCACCTCCGCATACCAATCCGGCATCGTAATCCGACATACTAGTCCGACATTGTCTTCCATCAAGCAAAGGACCCACGCCCATTGCCTGACAAAAGCAGCCTTCCCACAGAAAGTACACTCCAACCTAACGCTAACGCCTCTCGAATTGATACCTGAGAAGCACAGCAGCACGCCCGCTTTTCAACAAAAGTGGTCCCGACTAACTACGCCACACTAACCATCGCCAAGCAGCAGCAGCAGCAGCAGCAGCAACGCTCAATCATACTCATAACACAGATACCCGCCCACCGGATTCATCACATCCTCCACCGTGACCCCCGGCAAGATCCCATACGACTCCAGCTGATACTCCAGCGTCGTCTCCGGCCAGCCCTCCGCCGGCGTAGGCAGATCCGTGGCATTGACCGAGGTCCCACCCATCGCGAACAGTCGGGAGTCCGGGTCGACCATCTGCCAGATATACCATAGGCGGTCGATGAAGGCGTGGTGGATGTAGAACATCGGGTCGCCGGGTGAGGCCTTGACGTCTGCCATCTACAGTCCACAACACAAGATCAGCATCAGTATCGTCGTCACCTTCCCAAACCCAATATTCCCCACTACAAGAAGAAGGAGGATAACGCACCAATCCTCCAACAGCCTGATGCACCCCCTTGTGCGGATACGAGGCCACGCACTGCCAGAAGGGCGTGTAGCCGGCCAGATCGAAGCACTGGCCCACCATCGTGCTGTTGACGTTTCGAACTCCCAAGGCGCTGTCCCACTCGCGCTCCAGACACCGTTCCGTGTTGTTGTCGTACGGCCCGATGTACTGCGTCAGATCGGCGAAGCGTCCGTCCGCCACGCAGTTGGCGGGCTCCATGCCGTCGCCCCCGAGGGAATCGTCGTGCCACATCGGCGAGCGGAACAGGTCCCCTGTGTCGGCGTCGGCTTGTTCGTCCCACCATCTGTCCCTCAGTTATTTAGTGGGGCTGGAAGTTGCACAAGGTAGGGAGAAGGGGGCGTACACCATCGGACCCTCGTATCCGCACTCCGTCCGGAGGAGTGTCTCGTGGATGTGCAGCAGGTATCTATGCCATGGGAGGAATTGGCCCTGGCCATTTCTTCGTATTAGTGAAGTGAGTATGCCCGGTGGCTGGAAGGTACGCACCACGTTATGGATCACATCGCCGTACTCGGTGTTGGTGTAGTACCGATGCAGCGCCTGCAGATCGCTCCATCGGCTCGTCGTGTCCGCCATCCCCGTCTCCCCGGGCAGATCGGTCAGGCATTGCACCGCGTCCAGGTAGGCTTCCTGCTGCGAGCGGTCGAGGTTGCGCCATTCCTTGCGGGTCTGGAGCCGCTCGCGCGTGCAATCACCGCCGTAGAGGTTGGAGTCGACGGTTGGGCCGGGCCGGGGCGGTTGACTGGCTGTCGCCAGGGTTAGGAAGCTGAGGATAAGGGAGTGTCTCATTGTGGATGGTGAGAGGGAAAGAGGCTGGGTGAGTATAGGTATGGAGGGAGGTGAGCAGCGACGAAAGGAATCGAGGGCTTGCATCCGGCAGAGTTGAACGTAGGAACCTACGAAGCTGTGTCTTGATCTACGGCTTGACAGCGAGTGATACATTCGTCAAGCGGCCCAGGGACTGGCCATCGATAGCAGCTAGCTTGCATTCTTCGAACCAGGAAAATCAATGCTTTTTCTCGGCTGTGTCTTCCGAAGAATGCGGGTGCGGTACAATCCTCCTATCAGTTCTGGGGCACTGTAGTCGGGGCAAGATATGCACCCCGCTGTACCGTTGCCATGGCTATGGATCTGGAATGCTGGCGTGGAGTCGTTGTTTGCCTCTTTCAGTTCGCGTCTTTAACTGGGAATTCTTCCACTGAACGATTCTCAGGATCAAAAGAGCTAGATTGAGTCGGCACCCAGCATAACTATTGCAAATCTCTGAAGACTTTATATCCCCGTCGTGGTAGTTGACTCTGAACCCGCACGCCAGATTTCGGGATGGGTCATTGCAGGGCATTGTGAGTGGATGCTCGGAAATATATCATACGCACTCGTGAGGTGGAGTGTAAGGACCAAAGTTCGACTCATCAAAAGTCAGCACAGGATATGAATTAGATATTGTAGTCTAGAAGATTTGGTAACCGCAACAGAAACATCGGAACTTTTCGAACCATCCAGCATATTAGGGTATTAAAAAGACATTATCGTAAACACCAGTCAGCCCCCCCGCCCGCAAGCCCACTCCCCTCAGCATAGCAAATAAGCAGCTCACAGCATCGTTCCCTTGTTCTGCTTCTTATCGACATTGTAGTGCCTCCACATGATGACAGACGGGAAGGCCAACACCAAGATCGCCGTGGCCGCGATCGCCTGGTACTTCTCCATGTAGCCCCAGGCGTAGTTGATGGCATCGCGCACCTCCGTGCCAGGAGCGTACTTCATCTGCGTCAGGTACCCACCGGCAATCAGCGTCTCCAGGTCGGCTTGAGCACTGGCAGGAAGGGCACTCTTCAGACCATCCCGGAAGGTGTTGCTGTAGATCGAAGCGGAGACGGCCGCGCCAATGGCACCGCCGATGCTGGTGAAGAGACTGACGATGGACAGCATGATGGGGATATTCTCGCGCGAGGAGGCGCACATCACCGCCATCTGGAAGCTGATGACCATCATTCCGCCGGAAAAGGCGATGAAGATCTGGCACATGATGATGTAGCCAATATCCGCATCTTGGCCGCGGAAGTGGATCATCAGGCCCGCGCCCAGAATCATCAGCGGCACCGCGAAGAACAGGGTCGAGTACTTGAATTCCTTGGTGGTGCGGATCCACAGCCCGAACACAGGCGACCAGAGGCAGGAGCCCACGGTGTAGATCGAGGTCATGTAGCCGGTGTGCGTGATGCTGAGGTCGTACACCACCATGAGAAAGTAATAGAAGTAGCTGTCCCACAAATAGAAGCTGAAGTAGAGGACAGTGGCCAGCATGCATGCGCCGATCACGGTGCGGTCGCGCAGGTGCTCGTAAGGAATGAAGTGCACCCGCGCCCCCCATTTCTCCCACGCCGCGAAGACGAAGAACAGGCAGAATCCGACCACTACTTCGGCGATGAAGGCGGCATTGTGGTACTCGGTTCGCCCATAGCTGGCCAGGCTGAACGGCAGCAGGAAGAGGACGAAGGCCGCCATCAGGATAAGCGCGCCGATCACTGATGTATCCTGTTAGTTATGGTCGAAGGCGCGGAATATTGGTCGGGTAAGCCAGCACACGGCAAGAAACTCACCATCGAATTCATGTACGTAGTGGACGATCGTTTGCAGGGTGGTGCGACCGCTGGACTCGCGGGTCAACAGTCCCTGCTTGTACGCCTTGCGCTCGTAGTACTTGAAGATATAGATCAACGGGGCAAAGACAAAGGGCTGCACGATGGCAAAGGCACCGTACGCCCACCGCCAGCCGGAGGTCTTCACAAACGAGTTGGCCGCCAAAGAACCGGTAAAGGCGCAGCAGATGAACGGAGTGGTCGAGAAGGCGAAGGCGAAAGCACGGTTGCGGAGACCCGAAGTATCGGCGATGTAGATCTCGAGGATCAGGTAGATGGCATCGTACCCAATCCAGTAGAACACATAGCCAGCCGCAAAGCTGTTGGGGCCATTACACGCGGCGAGAATGATCATCCCCACGATGTAGACAGCCAGAAACACCATAAGACCCTCGGCACGTCCCCACAGTCCGAGCAGTTTTCCGATCGGCAACTTCAACACACCACCGATGATCGTCGCCAGGATGTAGGCGGTGGTCACCTGGGATGCGCTCTGGAAGTTGGAGTAGGCGTAGTAGAGGACATTGCTGCCGATGTACTCGTGCAGAGCCAACATGAAATAACACACCCAGATCCTAGCAGGCGATCCAGTCAGCCAGGCCAGCAACGAAAATAATAACCCCCTTCGATTCAGAAAAGGCTTACCAGGCGTAAGTGATGATGATAGCCTTCTTAGTCCAAACAAGAGCGGCAGCCTCGGCCTTCTTGACACCGATGGGGGCATCTCGAGTAACCTCCTGGGGGTGTTCTTGGGCCTCCTTCTCGGCACGCGCCAGTTCCTCGGAGGGAGTCTCCTGGGAAGCATGATCATCGACGGGGCCCAAGTCCTCGACGACATGGTTGGTTTTGCGACCACGGAGGCGGTCGGTAACAATACCCATGGTGAGGGGTTGCGGGGTGGGGGGGAGGGGGGGAGGGAGTGGTAAGAAGAGACGAAAGGGGTGAGGATCAACAAGGAAAGAAGGGAGGAAGGAGGGAAGGGGATCAGGCCGGTTTATAAGTACTCAAGTAGTTGTTCGTAGTTGCGCAAAGTGTGGTGCGGTGGTAAGGAATCGGCGCTAGTGGGAGTTTGCCTTCCACAGCCTTAGACTGGCTTGCCTTTTCTTGCCTTTTCCTTTTCTTGACTTGCTTGACTTGCTTGACTTTCTTAGCCGGGGTTTTGGGTGGTTGCACCTGCACGCTAGCCTTTAGCCCCCAACTTTGCCTGTTGGACCACCTGAGACATGGGCCGTGGCAGTATGTACTTACAGAGCCAGCCCAGCCTTCCGTGGGCATAGTGCGCAGCCACAGTGCGTGGGTATAAAACCCGTCCCAAGGATAAGCGCATCAGATAATCGGGATGGATGGATCTGATAAGACCCGACCCAATCAGCTGCCCACCGCATCCGGCCAAGTCCGGGTGGACCGACTTTCTTTCTTCTCAGAGCGAATCGCACCCAACCATGCACAATGCAGAATTTTCCCTCGCTCCCTCGCCCTTCTCCTCGTGGTCAACATAGCTTATTTGCTCATGCTTTGCGTGAACGGACATCTCCGACCTCCCCTGGACTCCATAGCTTGAAAAGGGCCTTGGCCCACCCGGCAAACGCGGCGAATAGCACCAGACCCTTCCTGCAATTACCGCTGATCAGCGACTCGCACGGCGCCACTGATCTCCTCCTGCGTTCTTGGTTGAAACTCAATACATCCCTCTTTGGATTGATGCTTGAGGTACTCCATCTTGGCAGTGAAGTGACGATTTGCGATGTCGGATCTAGGATTTCAGTCAAACACATAATCTCGACGGTTTTGGACCTGGCAAAAGCCATCGGCTGGGATTCGGGCAGCTTTAGGTAATTCTCAGCCATCATGTCGGCTGATTCTACCACTGTACACCACTGTACCATAGTCCAAGGTTTCGTCTCCACTCGAGCAAAGCTGACCGGACACTCTGGAAGCCGATTACTCATCACTCGGAGTATCTGATTAGATTCTTACATTTTATGGTGCCCAGAGTACCATGTAACCAGTACCAGTGGGCAGGCCTGAAAGGTCTCGTCCCTCGTACATCTAATCTGATCAAGGTTCTACGCCTATGTCATGATCCATCACATAGATGATAGCACCCTTCTCCACGAAGTAGTCTATAGACTGAGGTATGGACAGGGTCTGCGGCAGAAAATTTTTCACCTGCCAAGACCCTTACCGGGGCTAGAATCATCTGATAGTCCCGTGAAGTGGGTCGGTGTGTTGGTCACTAGCGCCAGGGCCTCGTCCCAAACCGGGGCATTGCGCGCTTGGCCTGGAGCTTTGCATTTTGGCACTGCAGAAGTGACAGACAGACCGACAGACAGACACGGCACTTCAGGTGGGATTCCTCGTGGTGGTCCGCATCGGTTTTAGCCGGCATGGACTTGCATGACTGCTGTGGAGGCGGTAGTCTACCCTAGTGACTGACCCATGCAGTGAAGAGACTCGTCCAGCCCTCAGAGTAAAAATTCTCTCCCATGGTTCTGTGCTTGTGCTGTTCTGAGTTGTTTCGGCTAGGTTGTCCCTGTCGAAACCTTGACCTACCGCATGGTCAAGTCCGATTATATCTGTAATGTTCAGACTTATGATGATAAGAAACAAAACGAGAAGAAGTAGAATATAGATCGTGAGAACACTCATCAACCAGTCCCAAATTCGGAGACATATGCATAAGACATTTGCGATCGTGTCAGTGGCTAGCGCACGATCTCAAATCGGGTGTTTGTTTAGGTCTATGGGTTCAAAATCCCGGCCGAAGACTGACAAGTAACGGTCCTGACCACGTCTAGTGGGCCTGCAGCTGTCGGCAATATTCTGTGACAAGGGCTGCGGTACATCCTCAGCAGTGCAAACACAGTCCCGTTGAAGGCCGAAGGTATCAAACCAGCCCCAACCCCACCCCCTCCCGACGAAGTACCCGCGCAGCAGTCGAAATCCAATCCACCTCGCGATTCCTCTCCGCGTAGTCGCTCACATTCTCCCTCGCCAGCCACTCCGCTAGTTCCGAGCCCACGTCCCACAGACCGTCCCGCTCGGGCATCGCGAATCGCAGCTCCGCCAGCGAGAGAAGGTTTGGCGCGGTTGCACGGTCCTGAGGCTCATGCCCATCCACTCCTACCATCTTACAAACCCTGTACAGCGCCAGCGCGAAGCGCTTGACTTCCTCAATGCCAAGCCAGATGTACACCTCTGGCACGGAGTCCTGTGCGAACTGGGCGCGCATCGTGTGGTACGAGAACATGTCCTTCTCGCGGCAGGTTTTGATGAGCGCAAGCAGAAGTTTCGACTGAAGGGATGGCAGTTTGCGGGTGAGTTGCAGGTCGAGGGGATTGGGGGGAGCGGTGATCAGTGCGAAAATGATGTTGAGGAGGATGCCTTGGTAGGTGGCGATTGGCCAAGATTGGTGGTTGGGGGATGGGTCGGGGGGTTGCCATTTTTCCTGGGTTGATCAGTATTGATGGCAACGGATGAGGATAAATTTCGAGGGGCGACGAACTCTTTGCTCGTAAATGGATAAGCTCAACCTTTCGTGCAGCTCAACTGCAGCTTGCCGTGACTTCGTGTCTTTGGTGACCCAAAGGCCGATCATCGTGATGGATTGCAGAAGGAACGGGGGTTCGTGGACCATGTAGAAGGTGGCACGGTGCACAAAGGGCCAGATGGGGTGGAATTTGGAGAAGTAGGCTTCGAGGTAGGGATCGATATCGATGGGGCCTTGGCCGGGCACAGGTGGGTCTTGCGGGGGAATTGAGATCTCAGAAGCCTCTGCCGACGCAGATGAGTATTTGGGGATGTTATTATCGGACTCAGGCTCTGGTCGTATGGTTCGATGGCTTTGTAGGGAGCATTGTATCCCTCGTTGCTGACAAGGTGTGCACGGGGCGCTTCCGTCGCAGCGGGTCCTGCGAGACCGGCAGTAATCGCAGGCCTTGAGAGCTCTGGAAGGATTCAGTTTTTTGTCGCGGTGATTGTGCCGGACGTGGTGACGGAGAGTGTCGCTGATGGTTTTCGTATCAGTCAAAATTTTATCATTGTAGTAATCCTCCTAGAAAGAATGCTTACTTGCGAGAGAAGGTCTTGTCACAGAATGGACAAGCTGCGGTAGAGGGTTGGAGATGGCTGGCGAGGTGTCGTGTAAGATGTTCCTTTCGCCGGTAGGTTCGTCCACAGCCTGGATGCGAGCAAGAGAAGGACTCTGGATCCATTGTTCTCGTGCTGAGATCAGAGGTAATACAGATTGTCAAAGAAGTAGGTTGAAGATGAGTTGGATGACCGGTTCAAGGTGGAACTCAGATGGAGACGTTCTTCCTCGGGCGCTCTTGACACAAAGACTCTAGTATATCGCAAGGTCTGCGATTTTAAGATATCCTCTCTCATGCTACTTGATGTAAACGTCAATCTAAGGTAGCAGGTGAAAAGAGTCAACTCAAAATGATATGCAAAGAGAGCAGAAATCGATGGGAGAGCGATGGGATACCGACGCTTACCCAGAATGGCATAGCGTGGCATTGGCGGAATGACCGATACAATCACGTGATGGTCTAGCATCAATCATGTCCATGGACGAACAGCCCTTGTAGTGCTTCGAAAGAAATCGGAAGATCATGACCCTCAACCTTGTTTAGTCGCTTTACCCATCTATTTAATCACGAACTGTACACCATGAGGAAAGACCATCTTCTGCAGCCGATTCCATACCCTTCGCCGACTCGATCCAGTTGTGCCAGTCCATATCGCTATCGACATCCATGCTAGCATCCACAAAACCCATATCCAAAGTCTGGATTATGTCGTCTGATGACGTCCAAGGGACGGAGGCAAGATTGACAGCAGGATTCGTAGCCGCAGCGGACACGCCGTACAAATGATCAGGCGTGGGCCCCATAGGAGCGGCACCGTGCGTATCCGGCATCCTCAATCCTGAACTAGCGTAATTGACAGCAATTGCGGCATCGGTAGATGGTATCGCCTCATTGATGGTAGCCAGCGCAGGCAAAGAGTTGTCCGCCACTGATGTAGTAACCAGCTGGCGCCACCGCTGACGGTAAGCCTCGCTGACGGGTCCTGCGCCTAGGAGTCCAGGGCTGGATGGCGTAGGAGCATTCTGGGCCTCGACTTCAAGTTTGGCAACAGCCTCCTGATCGCACCGCAGTCGAGTGAGCTCAGCGTCACGATGCCGTCGCGCTTTTTCCATCAGCTTCCGGAGAGGAACCCAAATGCCCCGTCTTCCGACGGCCGGCGACGGCGCAGGAATCAACCAGCTGCTGTTCAGGGCGGTCCACGCCCGTTCGACGAACGGTGACCACGGACGGCGCGAGATCTCGATTAACAGGTACACGATTGCATGCCAGTGTGTGCACGTTTGATATAGCCAGCGCAGGTGGCGACCGGAATTTTCCGCGTTGAGCGCATGGTTGTACTCTGCCACTTCAATAGCCGCACACAGCAGCTTGGTTCTGATCGCTTCTGTCAGCTCCTCGCTGGGAGAAGAGAAAAGGACAGGCAGGAAGACAATCAGCGTCATCTTGGCCATCACCATGCGGATCAGGTTAACGGCGACCCAGGATACGACACTGGTAGACCCAGCCGTGTGTTGCAGGTACTCTTCGTCGAGCTTGCGATAGATCTCGTCCACCGAGCGGCTTTGCTCCTGCATGCCCTCGACCCCTTCCGCAACCCCACGGCTCATCATGTCTCGCATGATATTAGTCATGTGTGCCGAGAGTCGGGGAACGGACAGGTCTGTCAAGCCGTTGCGCTCGCGAGGAGTCTCTTTGGTGTCGGGGTTGATGTCACAGTCATTGATGTTGAGGGGGAGTTTCGTGTCGAAGCTCCCTTGCATGATAGTTAGATCTGTCCCTTGATCTTCGGAGGCTCGTATATCCAACAGGCACACCCCCCACCACGCCCTGCGGCGCAGCTCAACTTCATACGGGGTGAAGCGGTCAAAGTGAGCGCCGTCGCGATGCAGACCCAGGTAATGAGCCATCCGAATCACAAACCCGGTCATCATCCATATGTACCTAGGGCTATCGTATCGACGGGAGAGATAGAGGAAGATGGTGAATGCTTGCACAAGGACGATGTCGGGAGCATTCAGAAAATCGGATTTAGCAAGAGCCTGCTCCAGCCCTCGACGATATTTGAGATTCAGTTCGTACTTGGAGGCGCCAAAATTGGTCATAACCTGCTTTGGTCAGCATCCGACATGGGGCAGCACCGAGGGGAAAGATCCTACATCCTCGTCTTCCATCGAGGCTATTGTGGCATAGTAGATTGCAAAGAGTAGGGCCTCATTGGAGGGCGAGAGAGACTTCATGCCACTTTTGCGCCAATCGCGGGCCACATTCGCAACGGTAGGCATATGCACAATCCCTAAGAAATAGTTGACATTCTCCGCAAAGGTCTCCAGCAGGAAGGGCACCTGTGATGGCAAGGGGTGAAGCTCGCGGAGATCTGGATTGGCGGAATTCAGATCCAGTCCGAAAATGAATGCATGGCGTTCTGCTGCCGTCCGTTCTGATTGGGAAACTGACGGTCGTTGGCCGGGGGATTGGTGGTCTGGGCTGTCGGAGTCGTCGTCTAATAAGGTGTTGGTGGCCATTCTTAGCCCATTAAGCTTTGTGCCCGTTAGAGGAGGCCTCGTGTTAATCTGCAGCACCGACACTAACGCACCTCGTCGTCAACACGGGACCAGAAGCTGCTGCTCACATAGCGGCTGTGACTCTCATCCTGCAGGACCAGCCGTCCGAGCTGGGTGTGGACGTTATTGGTGCCCGCCTTGGAAGAGGATTCACTCGCATGGTCCTCGCGAGTTGAGCTGCCGGGTGAGTGGCTGCCAGACACGCTGGCCTTATCAGAGGACTCGGGGGACAAGGGCTGTCCCAACTGGTGCTTCAGCTCTTGGACCAGGCTCTCCAGTGTGTTCACCCTATCCATCAGCTGATCTACCCCCATAGTATTGTCTCTCGCAACCGTCGCAGCGATCGGGTGAGTTGATGACGATTCTCTCAAGCGACGAGCCCATCTCGGGGGATGGTCGGTGGTGGAGGGCGAGATGCAGGCGATCTTACCGCGACGGCAGTTGGAGCAAGGCGACTGTTTATCGCAGCGCACCTTGCGCTGGCGACAGACCAGACAGCTGCGCGGTTTGGCGGGGGTGACTGATGTTGATGCATTCGCGCGAAGTTCGGAGACCGACTGGGGGGGTTGCGCAGTGGGCGACATGGTGCAGTTGAGTTGCATGACGGTGTAGTGTTGTTGGTTTGTTGTGGTTGGTGTTGTGGTTGGTGTTGTTGCTGACGGAGGATGGCTGGCTTATCGCGCGGTTTTCGGGGAAGTTCAGAGAAGTCCAGCAGATAAGGATAAGATCCAGCATCGTCCAGCCTAACCCGATTTGTCTCCCCGAGAAGAGGACGAGAGCCACGCGAGATCCACCCGATGTCAGCTTCTATATAATTTCCTATCCTTTTTCCTTCTGTTCATCCTATCACTTTCCCTCACTCCATTATTACAATCACATTTCAGGTCATCCCTCACACTACACTCACATTATTTCCTCTTCTATCAATTAAAATCTATCCAAATGGACGCCCCCTCCTGCGAATGCATCAAAGGCACCATCCACGCCGGCCAACCCGTCGGCAGCGAAGAACCGCTCCACGGCCTCAACGTCTACGTGACCGGGAATCGCACCAACCCTCGTGCTATCATTGTTGTTTACTCCGATATCTTCGGCCTTCCTCTCCCCAACAACCGTCTTATCGCCGACGCTTACGCCAAGTCCGGCAACTACCTCGTCTACCTCCCGGACTTCTTCGAGGGCGACCCCGTTCCCCTCAAGACGGCCGACGTATTGCTTCCCGTCGACGCCAGCAAGCAGTCTACTCTGGCCAAATACACGGGCATTCTAGCAGCAGCGCCAGCCTTCCTGCTGTGGTGGAGAAGACATCGTGAGGCCCATACCCAAAAGGTGTGCTTTGACTTCCTGGCCAACTTGCGACGGGATACCCCGGCCGACCGGAAGATCGGAATGGTCGGGTTCTGCTGGGGCAGCAAGTACGCCCTCCGGGCAGGGCTGGAAAAGAATCAGATTGAGGGGCAGGACGGGAAGAAGGTCCCCCTCGTGGATGCGGTGGTCGCGCTGCATCCCAGTCATGTCGCGTTGCCGGAGGATGTCGCGGATCTGGTGGTTCCGACGAGTGTCGGATGGGGGTTGGAGGATCAGGGGGTCAACATTGCCATGAAGGGTCAGGTGGAAGAGGTACATGAGAAGGAGAGACAGAAGGGAAGGCAGCTGCCGGAGGTTCAGCACAAGGTGTACAAGCCGGGTAGGCACGGGTTTGCGGTCAGAGGCAATCCCGATGATCCCTTGGAGAGGGCTTGTCTGGAGGATTCGGAGCAGCAGGTGCTGGACTGGTTTGCTCGGTGGTTGTGAGGGCGTATATGGCTGTGCAGGTAGCCGAGATCTGTCATTGAATTACTCTCTTAGTTAATCATGTCCACTCTTGCATAATGAATATACTACATGACCCTTGTCTTAGTTTGGCAGCCTTGCATGGTCAGATCTTTCATCTGGGAGTTATGCTCCGCGAAGGAGGCAACGCTGGGAACAACCTTGCCATACTTGCAGTATCATCTCATACGGAAGCAGGTCCTCCAATAGAGATAGGTATATGATCTTACAGTCGAGAATGGCACGCAGTACTTTCATCCATGTTGACTTCAGCACGGTTATCTCATGAGTTGACCTGTCGAGTGCACCCTGCATCAGGCCCCCAACCAGAGACGTCCCGCATTACCCTCTTAACAGGGCCGGTGTTTCACCATGACATGAAGGTGCGAGCCTTGGTGACCAAGCGAGGAACTCTATCCTAGATGGTTGTCGGCTTGGCCTAGGCAGCAAGGACAAGGATCTGCGACAGCTTTCAGCTCCAACATCTACCATGGCAATCCTTTCCTCTAAGTATACAAGAGAGGCTACCGGCATACAAGCTCATCCTCGGCTCCAGGCTCCTCCTGTCCTGTGCCTAATCAGGAAGGAGATTAGTGATGCCTATTAACTCGTACTACTTCAGTGAGCCCTTCTGCCTTAGGTTCCAGATAATGTGATGAATAGCAAAGAGGAGGGTCTATATTGAATAGATAATCCTGAAACCCAGCCAAATCTGAAGGCCATGTACGTAGATAGTCGTTATGCGCAGGTTATGACCACCATAATCATAACCCTAATAGCCTCTGTGATGCGGGTGTACTAGATGAAGCTTCCATACCATTTCTCGTCCTATGGCACGACATCGCACAGTGAATATCAAGCATATTTCGGAAATATTCCTCGTAGCCGTCCCTTCCCTGCCACCAGGCAATATCGACGTCTGACCTGTCGAGCTGATTCACTGAACAGGCCTGCTGTGTAACTCTGACCCAACAACCCCTCATCTATCCTCACCCCGCTTCTTCCATCTTCTCTCTCACCTTCCATCTTCCATCCACCGCATACACGATCCTCCAAGCTCTCCCTCTCCACAGAAACGCATAAAAGGCACGATCCGGCCCTCTCTCGAGCACAAAATGTCCGACAACCAGCCAGCCGGCAGCAGCGAGGACGGACTCGGTTTCAGAATCGAAGGCTTCGGCGTTGTGATTCTTCCTTTCTCTCTTCTCGAGCACCTCCTACATCTGACGCGTCCCGAGATCGAAGCCCAGAACCGATCCGACCACACCGTGATTCACTCGGCGTTGTTGGGCTCCTCGGAGTTCCATGACCTGGTCGAGGATGGCACCATCCCCGTGCACCCGCTGGATCTCATTTCTCTGTCTGATGAGGATGGTGATGGGGGTGAAGCTGACAACAATGACAATGGCGGCGGCCGTCAGTGACACCCCGCTTGCGCTTTGTGACGATCTTGCCGCGAGCGAGATTGACACTGGATCGGATGGCGTTGCTTGCTACGTGGAAGTCTTGGATGCCAATAATGCTACTGTCGCTGCTTTGTATCAAGATATCCCCGATGAGGAGGTGGAGGACGTGGGGGTAGACGACTGGGATGAGATGGAGTATGTGGAGGAGGAGGAGGAAGGTGAAGAAGAAGACGAAGTGATGGATGTGGCACGAGATGAGTTGACCTGCGCCAATGAGATACCCACCTATGCCAGTGTCAGCGGGCTTTGCAGTCGAATTGTCCCTACGTCCGTGAATTTGCCTCCTGCAGCCCGCCGAGGAAGTCCTAACTGCCGGCTGTACAGCTATGGAAACGCCGTCTTCGTCATCTGCAACACCAGCACTTGTCATTCTCGGCGGTTCACCGCTCAACGGCAGACTTGCAATCGAATCTACAATAATTGCCGGCGGAGATCCAAGGGTGGCTATGTGAAGTATAGTGGCAACGCGGGCTTTTCGTCTTCGTATCGCTCTGGCACTACACGGCGGCCTCCGGCGTATGCAGTGTGCTAGGCTTGCTCACTGCGAGGTCACGGTGCAGTTATCTGGGCTACTATATGTAATGCTGCTGTTGTTATTACTGTGCGACAGCTTCTCCGCTTCTGATCCTTTTTATCTTCTTCTTGCCCTTCTGTCACCTTTTTCTTGACACAAGTCGTCCTTGTCTCAGTTAACTACACAAAGCACCTTAGCGAAGCTCTCCATTCACTCCAGTCTCTCCACAATAGCCCCAAGTAAGCCGTTCATCCCCAGATAGCAAAGACAAATGGTACAAAGAATGAGCTTTTTATTCACGGGCCTATACCCCTTATTCTCGATTTATGGATATTTTCTTGCTTGCGAAATCTTGCTTCATGGTACGTCAATTCTTACCTCTCGGGTCCCTGGCATTCCGAAATTGTGTACAATTTTAGTTTCAAAAGAGACTGTTGCAGAATCAAACACGAGAAAAGTGTCCTTGGAAAACAAGGCATTTGAAGCTTACTTGGAGAAGGTGAAATGCAACTTACATTTAGCAATAGTAAGTAAGGTGTAAGATTTTGGCTAAATTGAAAGCCACAAAAGGCTATAGTATAGTCTTCTGAAAGACAAAGTGGTCATTAGATAAGCACCGGTGGCTCAGTGGTAGAGCGTCGCACTCGTAATGCGAAGGTCGTGGGTTCAAACCCCATTCGGTGCATATCCGAAACATGCTTCTTTTTTGTTCCAGCGGTTTCCACCACTGCACCGCTCCGACATATTTCATGGATACAGATACCTTGCTTGCTATATGGTCCAGGGTATGGTCACAAGCTTCCCGTCTCAGTCGGTCGAATAACGCTAAATTGATGTGCAGGACAGTAACAACTCCGAGTCCGAGCTCTGGGAGATCCCTATGAGAACAGCCATCCGATCCTATACAGAGGCACTAGGGCACCTTTTCCTACCAGGAATGCTACAAGGAATGCTACGAGAAATGCTTGAATTTGAGTGACAATAAAGCAAAAGCTGAAACAAGCAGAGCAAAGAAAATCTTGAAAGTATAACTGCATCATTAAAGCTAGGGAAAGAAAAACAAGTGAGCCCAGCGTCAAAAATCACAACAGGAGTCCGCCAGATATTCACCTCCCTCACCAGATAATAGGTATCGGGGGTGGCACCGTTCCCGGCGCCTCGAGGACAATCACCTTGACCTCCTGCCCGCGTACATAATGCTGCGCCATCGGAAACACCATGCACCCGGCCCACCGGGTCCCGTCCGCCCTCTCCCGCTGCTGCACCGGAAACTCGGAGGCGAGCAGTGGATTCCCCTGCACGGAGCTGCCGTCGCCCAGGTGGAGGGTTCGCAGCAGCCACCACGCCTCGCTGCAGACGTTCATGTTGGTGCAGAGGATGACGATGGCATCTTCTGGGATGGCTTCCGGGATTGCCATGGCGTCGGTGCGCTCGGTGCGCGGGCTGGAGGCGTCGAGCGCGACGCCACAGACCTGGTGGGTGGTTAGCAGCTGTTGCACCTCGCGGAGGAGCTGGGCTCGGGGGGTAAGTGGGTTGAGATGCATGTTGGGGTTTGTTGTTGGGGCCTTTGTTTGGAAGGGTCAGCTTTTACGTCTCTATGGTGTGTTGAAGGCGATGATGAGGTGGGGGGTATAGGGAGGGTTGGATATGGCTTTTATATCTGAGGTCCTAAGAGACGAGGGCTCCTCTTGATGGACATGGCCTTTATGGAGTGCTATGCAGTCTTTATCATGTGGAGGACGGAGAGATCGGAACAAGGAGAGCCTGCTGAATTAGAAGGAAGAGGATGGCTCTTCAACAAAGAAAGGGGAACAGAATGTGTGAAAAGGCAAGGGTCTTTTCTTATATGCCATTGCATCATCTGTTGAAGCAGGAACCAAGAGGTATTCTCCGGCATCAGCAAAGGTCACCACTGAATTCATGACAGGGGATAGAGCACTGGCTCTGCCATCAGGTAGGCAATGCGTACCACCCTCGTTTTCTCTGCCATTGTTCAAAATTGAGTGTCACGAGTCAATTCAGTATCGGAGAACACAAACTCGCATGCTTTGCTGTCTTAGCATGGCTGCTTCTCCTCCACTCTCGAGCCACGAATCCACCAGTACAGCCGCAATCGTTTGCTCATTCAACTGTCTTTCATTCTTGGTATCTTCATCTCATTACATAAAACCAATCATCGATTCCACAGACCGTCCCAACGCGATGCCACCTACTCCAGCTCATACCGCGGCGGTTCCGCCCCTGCCAACTCGCGCGCCTGCACCTGTTTCTTTGTGTCCAACTCCCTAGGCGGCCCCTCCGTCACGCGCGCAGGCAATTCTACAAATCCTCCCTCCCCGGGCTTTCGTTTCTCGCCTGCATTCCGGCGCTGGCGCCGTTTCCGCCGCACCATCCACAGCACCGCCGCGGCGATGACCAGCGCCCCCCCGACCCCGACCCCAACGCCAATGCCCGCTTTCGCCCCCGCGCTGAGTCCACCCTTTCCGCTGGCCACTGTGGTGGAGTTCTGAGGCGTGGTGGTGGTGTCGAGATGGAAGTATTCGGCCCAGCTGGCCTCCCACGAGGCGTTGGTGCCGGCGATCGACTTGGCGGAGACGGTGATGGTCGTGATGGCTGCGTTCGAGACGGAGGGCCCCGGCGCTTGCGCGAGAAACCATGTGCCGGAGTTGGCGCCTTCGTGGTAGTTGACGCCGACGAAGGCGGATTGTAAGAAGGCCCGGCCCAGGACGGGGGTATCGGTGGAGAGGAAGCAGGGGAAGTAGGTCTGGTTCTGTTCGACCAGTGGTTCTTGCAGCGTCAGGGCGAGCTGCGCGAGGGGAACCTTGATGGTGAGATTCTGGCTCGTGGCGTTGTTGAGGCTGAAGGTGAAGGAGAGGTAAGTCGCGGAGGAGGTGAGATTGGCGTAGTTGCTGCTGGTGGTGTCCCAGAAATACAAGCCCAGGCTTTGGTTGAAGGAGACTGGGAGCGAGGCGGTGATCGCATTGCAGGTCGCCTCCGGGAGGTACATGTAGGGCTTGGTCGGGTCGATGGTGACCACTTCGGCCGTGGATTCCCCCTCGCCGTGCTGGAATAAGCCCCCCCGGCTGGTGAAGCCTGCTGGTGTATTGTTTCCGATCAACCCGAGGCCAATGTCTTTAAGGGAGATCTGAAATGTGCCGCTTGTGCTGGTGACCGACTGTGCACTGACGTTTCCGAGGACGCGGCTCTGGTCGTACCCGCCCAAGACCAGGGAGGCTGGGATCGCTGGGCTGACCGATCCGATGTGCATACCGTATGAGTACGAGGGGATGGCATTGTCCCCGCCGGAGTTGTAGAGCCACGGGGTGATCATGTTCAGAGTGACATTGTCGACAGTAGCAGTCGACCACGGGGCCCCGAGGGCCAGGTTTCCCACTTGCACCGGATACGCCTTGCCGTTCGGATAGGTCTGGTAGGTCTGGTCGATGGCCTGAATGCTGACGTTGGGGACGGTCGGGCCGAACGAGATTTGATCCCCAAGATCTTCTTCAATACCTTTGCCTTCCACCGCCCAGTACAGTGTCTCCCACGAAGTCTTGTTCAGAAGGTGGGCCGAGGTTGATTCGGTTTGGTTGTACGTTCCGGCTTGGGAAGCATAGCATGTCGCGGAAACGGTCTTGTTGGTGCAGATGGAGTCCGTCAGGATGGTGGTGGTGTAAGTCGCGCCCGGGTACAATGCCACTGGTTGTTTATTGCTGCCAACCTCCACCGTCACTGCTTGCCATGGGCCGTCGGGGCCGTAGGCCTGGGAGGACCAGTTCATCACATAGGGACTGGCTGCGTACGTCGCGTCGAGGAAGGCGAGGACGAGGAGAGATATTCGTTGCATGGTCACATCACATTCGACCTTGGATGTGAAGGCAGGAAGAGAGAGAGAGAGAGAGAGAGCGCGCGCGCACGAGGGGAAGAGTGTAAAGAAGAAGGTGGAGAGGAAGGAGAGAAAGATTCCTTGGTGGTAAAAGGGGCGCAGTCGTCGTCGTACGCACGCACAGCCAGGTAACTTTAACTTAACCCCCTTGCGTTGGGGGCGGAAAATGTTAGTAGTGTCAGTAGTGCTGACCTCTGCTCCATTGCTTTGACTTATCGCCCTATGAAGATCGAGATTGGCGAAGGATTGAAATAAGCGATCGCAAATAAGTGGAGAATTGCTTGTTTTCCCGCATATCAGCCGTCCATCGCGGGTCAGGGAGGCCAATCAATCCCCTCCATGCGGCCCCCATCTCACGGGCGTAAACATCCGTGCTCTGGCGGGATTTGTAGCCTCGACTGTGTTCTACTCTCCCATCTACCTTGGTTGTTCCCATTAGTTGGGAATCGAGAAATCCATTCCGTGTTTCGGCTGTTGTTTTATCAGCGGAAGGCCCGAGCCGTCTCGAGTCCGCATTTGCCCGCTCCTCCGAACCAGCCCTAATCGCGGAAAAATCACTCCTCAGATCACTAACAGGTCCTTGTCAGTCTCTGGAGATTCAAGACTCGCAAACAGGGAGAAACGCTGCTGGCCTTAGTTGCACTTTTCTGGCTGCCCTTTCTTCACTTAGAGTCTTTGCAGGCGGTACAGCCGGAGTCTATTCCAGACCCAGGCCCCGCACATACAGAACCCCAATTGCGTGTGTTAGTTCGGGTACTATCATCGCAATCTTCTCTATCTATTGACTTGAATTTCTCAGATAGCCTGCTGAAGAAATGAAGAAAAACTTGTTTCGCGCTATGAGTGCATGCTTTGAACGCAGGCTTGCTTTCAGTGAGGTCACCACCCTCGTGCCCCGCACTTTCGGTGTGATAAAGGAGGAAGTGGCGATGAGCTGTTCAGGCAGCAAGGTTGATGGTCAGGGGGGCGAAGAGCAGGTATCGACAGCCTTTTGTACCGAGAGCCCGGTATAGATGGAGGGTCCAAGCCATCGCTGCTGCCGGCGAGGGTGTGGCTGTGTGTACTGCACCAGATCCGAGCTGAGAAGATGCCGAGGAGGAAGAGACGCCCTCCGATTGGGATACGGAGTGGCTCGAGTCAGGCGAGGTCGTGTATCTGCCGTTCATCACCCCATACGACGTGAGTCCTAGGTGGGCGCTGATAGTGATGGACCGCTTCTCGTATGAAGGGAATATCTGGAGTGGGAGGACCGGCTGGGATCGTCGGTCTCCGTCGGGCATCTCAGTTATTGCTCAAGGCAACCCTCATATTATCGTATCCCGGAAGCACACCAAACAAGGGCGGGTCGGGATCTACGATTCAAGTGGTTTGGTCACCTTTCTGGGAATGTGCTTGTATAGGAGAGCCGAAGGTTTGTGCATGGGGTGGAGATGTTTATGTGGGATGGAGTGATTCGCACCAGTGATCGCATTGTATGCACCCTGAAAGACTAACTCCCATCACCGAGCAACAGAAGAAATCTCAATTGCAATCAATCTCATTGCCTGGGCAATTGACCTGCTCGTGCATTCGTAGAAGCTGCCCACGTCCCGGCACTCATGGTAGGAGCTACGTTGAACGCGTCAGCTCTTGGGATCCAGACCGACAATGTAGATGAAGCGCTAACGCAGCCAAGCAGCGCCTATCCTGAAAGAAGACTTACGAGCCCTACCCCATATCCCGCGTTTCAGAGGTGGTGGTGAAGATTGTAATGGTCGGATGCGCCAACCGACCTTGTTTCGTCGGCTCCACATCAGAGTTCGGCATGTCTGGGGCAAGTTGATGTGCTTGACAACGACAGCTACGCGAAATGCAAGAGTGAAGACTGCAATGCTTTCGGTTCGTGTGGTCGAGGATGAGAAGATGTGCGTGGTAATGTACGTTTAGTGCATTGCAGTCTGCTGGCCCACTTTCGGGCAGATGGCTGTCTCCAGCTTTCTCCCGAGCATTGCTCAACGATAAAAATCGTTGTCACGGCCCCACTGCTTTTCACTCAACATGCTAAGATATGTGAGTTTCAGGTTCACTCCCAGGTCATTGCGAGCACAAGACAGGGACGGTATATAAGCTGCTTCCAGCTGCCTGTGAATGCCTTCCATGACCACCTCATCAGAGTCTCCACATTGAGATCAGCCATGGCGTCTCTCACGCTGCTTCTTCTGTCGTATCTACCGCAGGTCTTTGCTTCTATCACGGTCTGGGACCCCAGCGATTCCGCTGATGTGACGGCCGATGCTGTAGACAACACACTGGTGGCCGATTACACCACCGACAATGGCGGCGCGCAGTACCTGATCTACAATATCTCCGGACCATATTACTACTCGGAAGAGGATGTCGAACTGGCACACGTGACTCTGACGGTCGACGCCAATGATACCAGCGTCCTCGTCGGCACGCAGGGATCAGTCGTGAACCTCTCCTACAGCGATGTGATCAAGTATGGCTACAGCACATGGCTGAACCAGGCCAGTTTCTTCGGCGTCAACGCGGCAATCAACATCGCCAACCAATCGACCGCGTACATCGACCATGCCAACGTGACGGTCCACAACGGTGCTGCCAACATCTATGCTTACGGCACCGGCACCATCGTCTATGTCAACGACACCGACCTCTACAGCTCCGGACCGGTGTCGCATGGCTTATACGCCGGCGGCAACGGCACCTTTGTGGCCAATAACATCCGCCATTTCTCGGGCGGCGAGCGCAGCTCGGCCTTCTCCGGAGACAGTCCAGCCGGATATCTGCACATCACCGACGCCGTCGCCCACACAGCCGGCATCGGAAGCGCCATCTTCTACACTCTAGGCGAGACTTATGGCACCAATGTAATCGGACATGCCGAGAACGCACCGAGCCTATTCTCTGATGGGGTGCAGAAGTCGGCTTTTGCCAATGTCGACCTCACCGCAGGCTTGCTCGCCGGCACCATCCTCTTCTCCTCTTCTTCGCGCAGCAGTGGCGCTAAGCTGAGCTTCACGAATTCCCGGTTGACCACTCTTTGGGACGACATGCCCGCGTTGTGGTTCGGCAATATCATCGCCGAGGCCGAACTGGTCGCCACCACGCTGAACACCACTTCCGGTGTTCTGATTCTGGCCAACACCTCGCAGATGACGCAGGCGTTCGACCATTTTGCCGGGTATGAGGAGAATTCCAGTATCCAACCGGCCGAGGTGACCGTGACCGTGTCGGAGTCGACTCTGACAGGCGACATTGTCGCGTACAACAGCAGTCTCATTGCTTGGAGCTTGACCGACTATTCCAGCTGGACCGGGGCTGCTGTGGATGGTCGCGGCAAGGGGTACTTGGGCGTCTCGCTCGATGCCACTTCGAACTGGACTCTGACTCAGAGTGTCTATCTGCAGAACTTCACCGACGCAGATACCTCCTTGAATAACATCATCAGCCAGGGGTACAGCATCTACTACAATAAGTCGTCCTCGGCCAACTCGTGGCTCGGGTCGGCTAATGCCTCCTTGCCCGGTGGTGGAAGCTTGATCGCGTACTAGACAAATCCTGCGGCACGGATGACTTGACGACTGCTGTTTGGGACATTCTCGTATTTTCCAGTGTCGCCATTTCTGGTCGAAATGATAATCGTGGCAAGGTGGACTGCTATGGACCAGAAGACCTTCAGTTGGAATTGAGAGGAAGCGGGAGAGGAAGGATGGACTGTACATAGCTGCGTGATGTTGAGCGCCCGACCTGCTTCTCTCTCTGTTTAGCCACGAAAGCCCTGGGATGACGCTTACTTTGTGGATAATAGGGCTCAAAGTAACCCGCTAGCGGGGATTTTGGTAGAAGGAACAGCACATAGTCAATGAGAGCAATTGAGCGCAAACCCATGGACATCGTAGATCTGCTGCTACATCGCTTGTAGTCGACGGTAGTGGCTTGGTGGATGATCCCACAAACGTGGCCGTTAGTCAACCAAGTTCGAACGTGCCATGGCCCGTTGAGCATTCGACAACGAGCATATCCTGGTGATAAGCGATGGCTCGTTTCATTATCCGACAGCGTCCATTCATCGGCTTAATCGGAACTATAGCAGTATGCTGAGTACCTCAGCGCGAGGGACAAAACCCGCGCTCTGGCACGGGCGGATAGGTGATAGATCGGATCCAGCCCGATGCAATTACCGCGCAGGATGAGAGGCATCGAGCCTTAGACCTCCTTATGGCCGAGCAGTTCCTATCTAGGCATTCAAGCCCGGTGACGGTGCAATTGGGTTCAGATGAAACGTGCTTTACCACCGATTGCATTCATGGAAATGGTAAGGAGGCAGGAAATTTCCAACGAGGGAGTGTGGAAGTAGGTTTTTCCGGATGTGTGGGTTGAAAGCCCGTGGGGCTAATGCGAGGCCTAAAAGTAGAACCTCGACAGCCCTGTGCATTCATTCTTGTTGAGATAGCTTGCATCATTGCGAACAGCGATCGTCGGCCGCGATCAGCATGCTCGAAGCCGGACCGAACGGAAGAGGCCTGGAAGACAGCCATCAACAACGTGATTCAAGCGCCCGAGGTTTTGCCAGCCGCTAATACAGATCCAATGGTTGCAAATTAGGGTTCATGGGGGAGAAAGAGCCGGTGCATCGCCGGTGAGATGTGTGGGCTGCAAATCGGAGAGGGCAGATTGACTCAAAATTGAGATGGCGGAGCGGCGCTCCACCCCTGAAACAACCATCGCTTTTCCCCAGCCGGTTTCAGGCTTGCAGCTCGTACTGTAGCTCGTACTGCAGCACACAGAATCTCTGGCATGGCGTCTATTTACAAGGTCGAGAAAAAATGATCGGTAGAATCTTCACTCTAGATGCGACAGCACCGGCACTGGGCACCTCAAACCTGTGTCATCGAGTCGGCCAAGATTGTGCTCGGATCCAGGGCACCAGTCAGGTCGTGGTGCTAGTCGTCCAGCTAGGATTACGGTTCGTGCTACTGGAGAAATCAATCTTTTCAAAAAGCTTAAGTCGATCCCAGGCTCATATCACATCCGTGGATGACATGTCTCCTAGGTGGAGTCAACGCAATTCATCAAGCCGAGGTGCATTGTCGGATTCATGTTTCATCTCGATGGCGGAGGATTCGACAGAGAATTGCGGCCTGGCCCTGGCCTGGAGGAGAATATATAAGAGGCCGCTAGGTCTCTTCATTCTTTTCGTAGCAAGCTTAACCTCCTCAGTCTCTACAGTCGCTCGTTGTCACGTCATCAGTCACCATGCATCTCAAGAAGTCCGTCGTCTTCGCCGGAGTGGCCATGATCCCTGTGGCCTGCGCCGTGCCCACGAAGCGAGCTACCGCCGGTGAGTTCGTCCTCTGGGCTGTTGTCCAATCGATATGCTGACCTCTTCTCAGATACTGCCGAATGGACGGAGCTTCACCGGGCTGCGCAACTTGCCTCTGCCGCATACACCGGCTGTATCGGCACCGCATTCGATGTGACCATCACGAAGCAGCTGAACGATCTGGTCACAGACACTCAGGTAGGGACCGCATCATGATGCTCGATGACACAGGACTAACCCTTCCCAGGGCTTCATTGGCTACTCCACAGAGAAGAAGCGCATCACGGTTGCCATGAGAGGCTCAACCAGCGGTAAGCATCCATACACAGCTTCATAGAGTCTGCAATGTTGATAGTTCCAGCCACTGACATCGCCAACGACGTTGACACGACATTGGTGACTCCCAGCCTCTCCGGCATCAACTTCCCATCAGGCGCCCAGATCATGCATGGCATTTACTCGCCCTGGTCATCGGTCCACGACACGGTCATCTCCGAGGTCAAGACCCTAGTGGAGCAGTACCCGGACTATGATCTGGAATCCACTGGCCACTCTCTGGGCGGGTCCCTGACGTACATGTCGTACATTGCGTTGGCGCAGAACTTCCCAGAGAAGACGGTCATTAGCAATGCGCTGGCCGCATACCCGATCGGCAACTCCGCCTTTGCTGAGTTTGGCACTTCGCAGAATGGCACCTTGAATCGGGGTAACAATGCTGATGATGGTGTCCCGGTGAGTTCGGAATCGTCCACGGCTAGAGAATAAAAATGCTGACCGCGCACACAGAACATGTACATCATGTGGCCTTATGACTTTGTCCACTACGGAACGGTGAGTAGAACATCCTGCGCCGGGCCCTTGAATTCTTACTGATCCAACGAGCAGGAATACTACAGCTCCGGGACTCAGAGCAGCACGGTCAAGTGTAGCGGCGAGCGGGACACCCAGTGCTCAGCGGGCAACGGCCAGTTGGGTGTCACTGCAGGCCACTTTTCCAACTTTGGCATTGCGATGGGAATGGCAGGTTGCAGCGCTTCGCTGTTGTAGGAGTGCGAGCGTATTAGACTGTGGACACAGCTGATGACGGAGCAAAGGGACTGGAGAAGGGAGCATCGCAGCAGGTCTGTGGTTCGTTTGTTGAATATTGTGTGCAGTGTACCGGTTCGAGGCCCTATACAGGAGTTCAGTATCGTATAGTAGAATGTTTTTGGACTTGTGTATAGGTTTATGTGAGCCAACCTACCTCGGTCATCGCAATGTTGCGGAGGATGTAGAGCCGCGATATCGACCATGTCAATCCTCGCTTGGATCCAGAATGCCGTTCAGGGTCAAGAGACCAACGTGCAAAAGGCTGTAGAGGATAGTATGAGTTCAGACGAGAAGCAAAGCAGGCATCGAAGGACGACGATTTGGAGCACGCGAGTCTTCTGACCGTCGATTCGTGCTATGCGCTGTCTAGACCCGTCATTTCAGTTGAATGGTGTCTGGCAACATGCAATCGAAACAAGGACCGGTCGGACGAGGTTTTCAAAGGATAATTTCGAAATTCGATGCGCAGACCGGGCGAGCCAGTCAGAAGCAATGCGATCTTGAATAGCGACCACAGATGGTAGACGATAGTGCTGTGGTTGAAGTTGTTGTTGATGCAGCCTTGTTGGTGTTTTTCAGTTGTCATGACGCGCTGTCACATGCTCGGCGGTGTGGGCGAGGAAAAACAATGTTCCTGCCCTCGGTGCGGACCGGATTCGTTCCGCTCTCTTCCGAGCTGAGGCTCCCGATTGACAGTCTCATACCGAGTTTACATATTGAGCATGAGCAGAGGGGAAAAAAATTGATCTTTTGCAAGTAAATAATGTCGCTATCCCAGAATGAGGAGAGATAGACTTAGAGATCTATATTCTCAGCACTAACTCTATAGATCTGCATTAGGTTGTTTCGATCTTGGTTTGGCTGCCGGGCGATGCACGAACTATATATTTCCTCCGCGGAACGCGTTCAGTGACTGGGAACAAGAGGCGTGGCACAGTCTTCAACGAAGCCCATTCTGCAAAGCCAGGATACTACTCCAACGGCGATTCTCGCCCATAAGCCGCACTCCTATAACATCCATTTACATTCGAGGCTGATATCCATAGATGTGGTGAAAGTGCCGGGTTGTTGTGGTGGAGCAGCAAGGCTTAATCCGCCGACGGCGACTCCACTGGCCAGTGGCCAGGTGGTTCAGTACAACAACAGCAAGGCTGACAGATTCGACGCCATGGCATATAATCATGTTGTGATCGCCGTCCACCTCCTTCGAGGACTGGCTTACTAACAAACCACCACACATCTACCATGTCGCTTCACGATATCCCCGAGTTCCTCCTCCTCTGCCGCGAGGACGAGTCGGTGACCGCCTTCGAGGAGGCGCTGGCGCGACAATGGCCCGCCCACGCGACGGAGCCGAAAGTCCAGTTTCGCATTGTGAGGCAATCGCTGCGTGACGTGCCCGCCACTACCCCCTTCGACCTGATCGTCTCCCCCGCCAACTCCTACGGCCTCCTCGACGGGGCCTTCGACGATGCCATCACCCGCAAATTCTGCCTCCCCGACCATCCCTACGAGACCCTGACGCGAGCGGCGCAGCGGGTCCTCTACGAGCGCTGGCGCGGCTTTGTGCCCCCCGGAACGTGCACGCTGGTGCCCTTTCCCGAGCCCTTGACCCCCAACGAGTGGGGGTGTCGGTGGGTGGCCCTCTGTCCGACGATGCGCATGCCAGACCGTGTGAGTTGGGATCGCGAGGTGGTGTACGAGTGTATCTGGAGTCTGCTGGGACAGCTAGAAGGGTGGAATCGGGGGCGTGCGACCGATCGCATTGAGCGGATCCTGATCCCTCCGCTGGCCACCGGGGTGGGCAGGGTCAGTCCGCAGCGCTGGGCGGCCCAGATGGTACTGGCGGTAAGACATTTTGTGGATGCGCTGGAGCGACCGGCGCACTGGAGCAAGATGAACTGGCTGGATGCGGCGGATCATCATCGTGATATCCTCCCCACGTGGAATATGTGATGGCGTGAGATGTGATGGGGCTGAGAAGGAAGAAGCGGGGGGGGGGGGGAGGAAGATCTAGAATCTAGTCTTTCTCTATTACAAGACTCTAATATAGATCCACTATGATCGCAGATACACCTCATCCTTACTTCTTCTTCTCGAGACTTTCCTCGAGACTTTTATTCTGGGGGGGGAGCTCCCTGCTGCTCCCTTGCTTGGAGGGATCAGGGGAGGAGAAAATGGCGGAAGTCGCGGACATGCTCGGCCCACGGCGGTAGAATCTAGACGGGTCGACGAGGCGTAGTCCCGGGGAACGTCACCTCCGTCAGTGGCTTGTCAGGTTGGCGTTTAAGCAGCCACGGCGGGAGGTGACTGGCCTGACTGGCCTGACTCGCCTCTTTGCGCCGTTGCGGTCCGAGACGCCGTCTGACATGCTCGGAAAGAACAGCAGCAAGGAGCGGAGAGAGCTATTGTGGGAGGGAAAAACAAAAGCTATTGTGGTGCAGCAGCCGAGGCAGAGTGGCCTAGGAAGAAAAAAGAACTATACCTCGGAATTGATTTGGAGCACCGTACAACTGTACACTGTATGGACTTACTGTATGTCATGCACGCATGCTCAGCAATGAGACCACCAGAATAATAATCTGAACGTTTCCAAAGGGAATCAGGGAAAGCCACCTTTCCCTTGCTGCATTCCAGTTTACCCTACTTCTCAATTTCTGGTGCATTTCCCCGCGCAATAAGGTTGAGAGGTCGAGGCACTAAACGTCGCGGATGGAGTTGATAAGAAAGTCAAGATCGGATGGCAGGTGATCGACGAGAAACTAGACGACTAGAAGCAATCATCTGCACCGATCACCCGCGGGTCGATCGTGACACCTCTCCACCACTCTTCATCGATTCATCTATATCTATATCGGGTGCTTGTACTCCTCGTGTATCGTAGTCTCAAATGTCCCTCTTGGTCGATTGGGGGGTCTTGGATGCCAAACGTACGGGCTAAAGCAAGATCGTGAGCCGGGGGGGGAAGGAAGAGTGGAGGCAGCGGTCCTCTGGAGCAATCTCGAGCAGACGAGGACCGTCTCGCATGCGGCCAAAATTCTCTCGAAATTCGGGGGGGGCCCTGGCTATGGGGAGCAGGTTCTAGAGACCGGGGAGGCACGCAGATTGGCTGGAAGTGACAAGCAGAAACATCGCGTGGAATTCGACAGACCCACTTGGCGAGGACGCAAAGGGAGCGATGGCGTTGAGAGCCGGGTCTAGACTGAGATAGACTGGGAACGACTGTTAGAGAGGAAGACCAAGGGGGGAATTGATTGGCACCTCGTGCAGCCCACTTTCCAACAATCTTGGATAGCCCTGTTGGTCGGCAAGTTTTATTGGTGGGGCCGACTAGCACGATGACGTCGAGGCTGAGATGACAATTCGCCAAATGGGGGGAAAAGTGTACGTAGTTCTACTCATAGATTGAGTAAAAATGCCGGTAGAGCCATAGTGTCGAGAGGGTCGAGAGTGTCGAATAAATGCGATCGATCGATGGATGGATGGACGGAGAACTTGTGACCGCCTGCCTCCCTTCATAATTCTTTTCCCCCCCGGAGAATTATGCCGGCTTCTGCTCACTTGTAGTAGTATGGATTGGTGGTAGTGCCTGGTCTTGCCGCCTTCCGCTCGTTCCAGCAACATTTCTCCTCCTCCTCCTCCTCCTCCTCCTCCGCTAGTAGTATTTACTTCCCCCTCCCGGCTTTTTCTCTCCTTCTTTGCCTCTTCGCCTCTTCGCCTCTTCGCCTCCCTCGCTCCCTCCCTTCTCCCTTCCCCCTCCCCTCGCTCTCTTTTCCTACTCTTTGGACCTCCCCTCTCCTTCCCCCCCCCCTTTCTTTTCTCTGCTCGGATTCCCCAGCCCCGGATGTAGCTTGGTGAACGTGGTTCGTCGTGTTTATTCACTTCATCCCCCGCGCAATTCCAATATCCGCGCCCATGTCTGAGTCCTTCGAGTCCGAGGCGGCGGTGATCCACGATCCCGCCAGCATGGCGCAGGAGCGGGAGTTCTACAAGTGAGTCGTTTCCTCGTCCTCTCTCAATCTCATTCAAATCAGAAATCAGGTTGACTGATCACACAATGCTCTCCTTCAACAGGTATTGTCAATTGCCTCAACGCCCAGGACTGCTGCATCGCCCGCCCGCTACCCCCTCCTCTGAGGAAGCCGAAGATGATCTACCTCAATCGTCCCAAGACACCACCCTAACCGCCCTCGCGCAACTCGGTGCCTTGCGACTCAACGCTCGTCGCTGCATGATTTCCCTCTTCGACCGTCATACTCAGTACATTCTCGCGGAAGCCACCCGTACCCTCAGCCTTCAGGATGATCGCATCCACAAGGATGGGGATGCTCTTTGGCTAGGGAGCAGTGCCATTCAGAAGTGTGATGGTGTCTGCCACTATGTCTGCGACTATGAACAACTAAACGCCGGCGAAGAGTCACTGAGCAACGGAGGGGGCCCGTTTGCGCTAGTCATTCCCGACATGACTAAGGACGATCGAACCAAGAACCGCGGTTACGTCGTGAACGCCCCGTTTCTCCGCTTCTACGCCGGCGTGCCTATCCTGAGTCGTCGCGGCATCGTGATTGGCGCTTTTGCTGTCAGTGACGGGCAGACGCGACCGGGCCTCGACGAACTGGAATTACGGTTTATGAAGGACACGGCCGCCGCAATCATGAATCATCTGGAGATGGTACGTTCTCAGCAACAGAACCTGCGCGGAGCCAACATGATTGCCGGTCTGGGGCGCTTTCTCGAAGGGGGACTGTCCTTGCCTCTCGGGCTGCGTAGCAAGAGTACCGACAACCGGGACCTTGCAGACAAACAGTTGCACTTGCGCTGGAACCATGCTACACGGGCCCCGGGGTTTTCGTCGCCTCGGGACCCTCGTGAACGCCGGGATTCGCGAGAATCGAAAGAGCAGAGGGAATTGAAAGAGCCGAGCGCGCCCAAGGAAGCGTCGTCGCCTTCAGGTTTGTATCCTAACAAGTAAATTCGCAGGACATCGCTGACTCGGAAACAGGGTACGAAGGAAGCCGCACTGCGGATAATGCAACAAGCAAAAAGAGCCCCTTGACCAAGACACTATCGACCGGCACCCGAGAAATCCTCAATCGTGCGGCGCACGCCCTACGCGAATCCTTGGATGTCGAGGGAGTGGTATTTTTTGACGCCAGTGTGCGCTCGTATGGCGGGCTCATGCAGAGCGGAGAGGCCCGTCATTCCGATTTAGAGATCAGTACCACTTCCGGCTCGGGCGAGTCTGGTAGCGACAGCGAACACTCCACCATCGGTCATTCGTCCACCGAGACGGACGAGTCGGCGCTTTGTGAGGTCCTTAGTCTTTCTACCGACCCGGAGGATGCGAGCTTTCCGGTCGGGTCCTTCCACGAAAGCTATCTGCGGTCGCTTCTGCACCATCATCCCCGCGGTGGGATTTTCAATATCGACGAAAATGGATGGGTCTCGTCTAGTGAAGGTAGCGATGGGGCGACAGGGAGTGCACTGAGTCGCGATATTGTTTATCGGCGTCGTGAGGCCACACAGGGCGGGAAGAGTGGTCTCCGAAGCAAGCGGCAAAAGCTCACCTCCCGCGATGAGTGTAAGGCTTTGCACAAGGTCTTTCCTCAAGCACGGAGTGTCATTCTGTTCCCAGTCTGGGATTCGCGACGCAATCGATGGTTTTCGGGGTTGTTTGCGTGGACGACCTCTCCGCGGGCTTTCAGCTCCCGCGGCGAATTGGCTTACCTGTATGCCTTTACCAACAGCATCATGGCCGAGATCCATCGGTTGGATATCGAGCTCGCCAACAAGGCGAATCGGACGCTGGTCAGCAGCATCTCACACGAGCTGCGTAGTCCCTTGCACGGTATTCTCGGCAGCACCGAGCTGCTGACCGATTCCAGCATGACGCCCCCGCAGGTTGCTCTCGTGCAAACCATCGAGAACTGTGGTCGCTCGTTACTCGACATTATTAACAACATGCTGGATTTTGCGAAGATCAACCAGTTCACCCGCAAGTCCCGATCTGGGCGGTTGAAGGCAGGACCGGCCTTGGCCCGACGACAGGCGAACTCCGGGCGAGCACTGGCGAAGAAGCGACCGAGCGAAGGCATTGTCAACCTCATCACCGATGTTCAACTCGACTCGGTTCTCGAGGAGGTCATGGACACGGTCTTTGCGGGTCACTGCTTTGCCACCACCACCGGGTTCCTGGCTCAAGGGGGTCCTGTACTGACCGATCAAGACAAGGATGGTGACTATCTAATGGGCAATACCCCGCAGAAACCGCGGACAAACGAGCCTTTGACGGTCATTTATGATGTGGAACCAGGACTGACGTGGCTCTTCGAAACACAGGCAGGTGTATGGAGACGGATTCTGATGAACATTTTCGGCAATGCCTTGAAGTACACACGGTCCGGTCACATTGTGGTCTCTCTAAAATCAGCCAATGCTGCTGGTACCAAGCCCAAGCGGATACCATTTACTGATCCCTTCAAGCACGAGGTGGCTGGGATCGTCCTCAGCGTGAAGGATACCGGACAAGGCATTGACAAAGAGTACCTCAAAAGCAACATCTTCAAGCCGTTTTCCCAGGAGGATCCTCTGTCTCCCGGAAGCGGTTTGGGACTTAGCATCGTGTATCAGGCGGTGCAGACCATGGGAGGAAAAATCGATATCAATTCCACTCGGGGAATGGGTACGGAGGTAACGGTGAGTGTTGATCTGCTGCGGAGCCCGAGCCCGGCTCCCAGTAGTGATCGAGAGGCGCGCACAATTCACAGAGCGCAGCAATTCTCTCGGGGGAAGTCGATTGGGTTGCTTGGGTTCAATGGGCCCGAGAGGGCGAAGGACGAGGGGCTTGCTCTGTTGCGGACCTCGCTCAGTAGCATTTGTCAAGACCACCTTGGCATGCAAGTCGGCATGGTCTCGTGGGATTCGAGTGATGCGCCGCTCTACGACGTCTACCTGGTGCAGCATTCGGACTTCGGTCGCGTCGATAGCATCTGGGCCAGTATGGCGGGCAAGGCCTTGACCACCGGGCAGGAGCCCAAGGGCCGACCACCCGTAGTCGTCGTATGTCCCACTCCACAGGAGGCCCAGAAGATGGCCGCCACCGGTTACCGTAGCCCCTCGTCTGCCATCTATGAGTTTGTCAGCCAGCCGTGCGGACCGACCAAGATCGCGACGGCGGTAATGACCTGCATTCAGCGGCGCGAGCAGCAGCAGACGCAGTCGGTGACGGCCAAAATGGATGCCACGCTGGAGGAGGAACCCGGTACGCAGCCAACCAAGTTCACCGCGGCCTATCACGCCTCCACCACAGACGTACAGACTAAGACATCGTCAGGTATGGACATTGCGCTGACCACCTCCACCACCATGGTCTCGACGACCACATCCAGCAAGGGGGATTCAGTGACCAAGATCTTAGCGATCGAGACGACGAAACGAGCGCCTGCGGTCCTCCTTGTGGATGACAACGAGGTGAATCTGAAATTGCTGGTTGCCTTCATGAAGAAAGCGAAATTGTCGTATTTCACGGCAACCAACGGCTTGGAAGCCCTGGAGGTATTCAAGGCCAATGCCGGACTGATTCAGATCATTCTCATGGGTAAGCACATTCTCCCGTTGGGCATTTGACCTGCGTGCTAACGCCGCCATAGATATTTCCATGCCGGTCATGGATGGTCTCGAGTCCACACGGCAGATCCGTCTCTTCGAGAAAGCACAGCAAGAACTTAGTCCGACGAGCATGCCGTCGGCCAAGCCCGCAGTGATTATTGCTCTGACCGGTCTGGGCAGTGCTACCGTCCGCCACGAAGCCCTCACTCACGGGGTGGACCTCTTCTTGTCCAAGCCGGTTCGGTTCCAGGAGCTGATCAAGCACATCGGCGAACTTGTTCATTGACCTTCTCGACTCTGCCTTTCCTTCACTTCTTCGACGTAAAAGTTCCCACATACCCCTTTTTGTATTGATGCGACGATTTCTGGGTGATGTATATATACGTGTGACGAGCATGATCTGGAAGGCGCATAAGAGACTTCCTTTGATAATAGATATATACCAGTATATGTCATATACCCTTACTTGAACCCCACGTATACGTAGGTTGTGGAGTTTATGACGGATGATCGCTAGACCATTTACGGATGCAGAATCTAACATTCAGATTCACAAGGGCGCCCCGTCCCCCCGCTCGCTCTCGAGCAGTGACGTTAGTCCGCTGAATGTATAGTGAGTACTATGTACATGCTTTCTCGGCTCCACATTGCCTCTTTGACTGGCGCCCTAAGCCAGTTCTCTCTCGCATTATCAGAATGACCTCAGTGTCTTTCTGTTGCGGACCTATTGGAACTAATGCCAGTACCTAGATTTAACAGTGAACCTGCTTGTGGCATTGTGAGCACCGTAAAACACAGGGATGCTCGATGGACAATATTGCACTCTATGCTAGTCTAGACAAAATTGTCCGTAACTTTCACCCAGCACGCAAACGCCGATGGCCGATTCCTAAATAACTTGAAGGCCTAGACGACTTACTTTAATACAAACCACACATCGACCCGACTGCAACATGTTGCCTGCTCTCGCTTAACGTATCCCGGCCTCATCGGCGATAGCACAGCCTATACTACCGCCACCGGGCCTTAACGCCGAAAGCCGACGGCCTCTACTCGACATCAACACATACCGATCAAGCCCCCAGCGCTCTTTATCTAGGGTGCCTTCTGAAGAGCGATAACTTTCATTGGGTCCGCAGGTCGCCTCGAACTCTCGCCAAAGACCGACGTACAAACTCGCCATCGAGGCAGCAGATGGCGTACTCCGGAAACACCCCTTTATATCTATGATGCTCAGCCAGCTTTGTTGTCGGGCTGTCGCTTATCGAACCTGCGATGCTTGCCCAGCCCCACAATGTCCCTCACCTCCAGCACTAAAGCCCCGGTCGACCATGTCCAGACCCCCGAGGAAGATGGCATCGTCCGTTCCCGGCCTGGCAAGGCCACGAAGGAGGAACGTCGCATCCTCCACCGCGTGGACCGCCGGTTGATCGTCATGTTGGGGTTGCTGCATACGGTCTCCCTGATCGATCGCGGGAATCTGGGGACCGCGTCGGTGGCCGGCATGACCAAGCAGTTGCATCTGATTGGGATGAGATATGTGCGTTCAGTCCCTTCGGGCTGTTCTCTGATAATCAGGGGAGAGACTAATGTGCTTGGTTGTTGCGGCAGAGCATCATCGCCGTCGCGTTCTTCCCGCCGTACATCTGCTTCCAGGCGCTGGGGCCGGTCTTGGTCCGGAAGCTGGGGCCGGTGGCGTATATCTCGGGCGTGTGTTTTGTGTGGGGAGCTGTGATGGTGCGTTTGTCCTTCTCCAGTTATCGCTCTGGTGGATGCTGAGGAAGGTGTAGTTGGCGGCGGGCTTTGTCAAAGACTGGACCCAGCTGGTCGGAATTCGGATCGTTATCGGCGCCCTGGAGGCGGGCTTCTTCCCCGGAGCGGTATACCTGATTTCAACATGGTACACGCGGTTTGAGATCCAGAAACGATACGCCTTGTTCTATCTGCTGGGCTGCGTGGCGTCAGCCTTCACGGGGTTGCTGTCGTATGGGATTACCTTCATGGTTAGCAGCTCCTCTAACCCTCCAAGCCTGGATAGACCTATCTGACATGAGATAGAACGGCCTAGGAGGGCTGACGGCCTGGCGCTGGATCTTCGTGATCCAAGGCCTCATCACCTGCGTCCTGGCCGCGATCGCCTACTTTGTATTGATCGACTTCCCCGACCGCATGCTGACCCAGCGCAACCGCTTCCTCTCGCCGCGCGAGTACGAGCTCGTGATCCGGCGCATCGATGCGGACCGCTCCGACGCTGCCGTCGAGCCGTTCAACCTCCGCAAATACCTGGCCGCCGGCCTCGACATCCATATCTGGGGCTTCGGGCTGATCTATTTCTGCAGTACGACCACTGCGTATGCTCTGTCGTACTTCCTGCCGATCATCTACCAGAAGGGCATGGGGTTCTCGACGGGCGTGTCGCTGTGTCTGTTTGCGCCGCCGTACGCGGCCGCGGGGATTGTGATGATGGCGACCTCGTGGGTTGGGGATCGCTATCGGATTCGCGGGCCGATCATTGTGCTTAACTCGGTGCTGAGTTTGATTGGGTTGCCGTTGATGGTATTTGCCCTTATCCCCTCTACCGTCCGTGTATGCATGACCGGTGGTGATGGTGGTGTTAATGTAGCGGATTAGGGCTTCACGACGGGCGTGGCGCCCCGCCTGGTGGGATGCTTCTTCACCACCATCGGCGCGAATGGGAATATCCCAGCCGCGATGGCGTATCAGGTTAGCCGTTGCCCTTGCAGACCATCCACGTACAGTAGCTAATCTGGCAAACTGCAAGGCAAACAATGTGCGCGGCCAGTGGAAGCGCGCCATCTGCAGCGCCATCTTCGTGGGACTCGGGGCGTCCGGCGGGATGACGGGATCGCTCGTGTATCGCTCGCAGGATGCGCCAGAGTACCGGCCGGGCATTTTGGTCAGTATCGGTCTGACCTGCTTGTCCATTGTGTTGGTGGGTTTGCTGTCGCTGCGACTGCATTATCTGAATAAGAAGGTGGATAAGGGGGAGTTGGTGATCGGGGGGTTGCGCGGGTTCAAGTATACGCTCTAGCTATCGCCGTCACCACAGAACATATGATATTCAGTATACTTGCAGAATAGTCTCACTCTAATCTACGACCCAAGCACTAAGCCAGCCCCTCCGCAAGAAACCCCCTAACCACCCCCCCAACCTCTTCCACATCATCCACGTGCGGAAAATGCCCCGTCCCCTCCACGACGTACTCCCGCAACCACCGCCCATCCAGCTCCGTCCGGACAAACGCCGCATGCGCCGTCACGTCGCTCTTGCGCAAGCTTTTCCGCTCGCTTTCGAAATCGCCCTCCTGGCTTTGCAGGTCCAGCAACCGCACTGGCTTTTCGCCCGTTGCTACCAATTGGTCGTTGTGGCGGTTGAGGGCGTGCAGGATCGGGGCGAATCGTCCATCGACCGTCCCGTAGTAATGCGACATCCGGATCAGATATGCAAAGTCCAGGCGGGAGTAGGCGTCCTGCACCGCGGCGATGGTTTGGGGGCTGGTGTGCGGGCCGAAACACCGGGCGATGCGGTCGGGCATTGTGCTGCGGTAGTATTCGGCGTGGGTGGCGAGGATGTTCAGGTCCAAGGGGGTTGGAGGTGTTGTGCCGGCGTAGGGGCCGTCGAGAAGGATTATCTCTGCGACTTTAAGAGGAGAAGGTGCTGTGGTGAGAGTATGGGCGAAGAGGTCGAGAACGGTCAGGGTGCCCATGCTGTGGCCGTAGAGGGTGGTGGGAATTGGTGTTGGGTTAGGGCTGGAGGCTGAGGATGGGAAGAGGGTAGAGAGCAGTTCCGCATGCAGCTGGACGAGAAGTTCGTTGATTCCTCCGGCCTCTGGGATGGGTAAAATGGCAGTAGGCGACTCGCCATGGCCCGGGAGGTCGACAGCGACATAGACGTGGCCTGCGCTGAGGGTGCGGCCGTGGGCGTGGAGGTGGGTGATCAGGGGGATGTAGTCGCTGGCTGGACAGCCGAATCCGGGGATGAAGAGGGAGATCTGCTGGAGCGAGGCCTGTGGACTCGTAGCATTGCTGAGGTAGGAGAGGCCGGTGGATGGCGAGGTCTGGCGCTGAAGCTGTAGAGGCTCGGTGGTCATTTTGATGATGTTGATGTATGGATTTGTGTGGCACAGATGGCACAATGCAGGTGAGAAGCTTGGTATTTATCCCTACCATTATCCCCACCCTAGTACGATTTATCCCAAGTAAAATAAAGCTGATCCCAAGGTTGAATTAGTGAGCATGACTAAAAGAGACAATAAATTATTGCAAATCATTCTTGATTTGTAAAGCTGACAATTAATGATGAAAACAGGTGAAACTAAAGGCACGGGAGCTACAGTTAGGGCTCCTTCGTATGTCGCCATTCCGTACACCGACTCGACTCAACCCCTCTCAACGCCTCAACATCGTATCCCAAAACAGAGCAGTCCAATCCACCATCTTCAATTCCCGGAAATAGGGACCCACGGAGCTCGACACTTGGGACACGCTCTCGCCCGGCCATTGGGCTCGACGCTGTCAAGCCAGGCATTGATACACTCCGAGTGGTAATTCTGCTTGCATAGCGCCGGGCATTGGGTCACATCCTGGAGATTCTCGTTCATGGCTAGAAAGCAGATCGGACACTCCGCCTCCTCGTCGATATGTTTAGGCCACGGCGCGCTACACCCGGGACACGGCATGTTTTGATTGGCATATGTCGAGCGGCACTGGTCGACGCAGCGCTCCACACAAGCCTCGTGAAGCCACGCTCCGCATTGCTGGGGACAGCAGAACTCGTAGTCTACGATGGGCTTTCCACAGACCGCGCAGTTCTCTTGAAAGATGTCCTGCCAGCACGTCGGACACGGACAGGGCTCTTGGTTCTCGGCACTTCTTGGGGTGCGCCAGTCTGAGACACAGTTGTCATGATACAGTGTGCCACATCCGCCGGGGCAGGAGAACCCGTCCTTGTGCATGCGTTTGTGACAGATCAGACAGCAGTCGTCCTTGATTTTGAGGTTGTTCAATGCCGCGTTGATGTTGTGGTGGTGAGGCGGCCGGTCTGCGTGGGTGGTGCTAGCATATATTGGAACCCCCCCGGAGACATCACTGGACAACATGGAGTCTGGATCGGCGTCTTCACTGCCAGTGTCTTGATCGGAGGCTTCATCGTGACCCAAAGATTCCACGTCGCTGCCGAGTTCGTCCCGGTCCACGACTTTGGATCCCGCGGCACCATGGGTGCTGAAGCCAGCGCTGAAGCCGCTTTCATACCCACTCTCGTTTGGTACGGGGCAGATCTCAACCCGGGCTTCAAGACTGGACTTGCAGGCACCGGCGGTGCTGAAGGTAGCGCTGAACCCGTTTCCACCACAGTTCTCATTGATTACGGGGGAGAGGGTCTGAACCCGGTCCGTGACTCTTAACCCGCAGACAGCAGCGGTGCTGGAGGTAGCGCTGAATCCACTGTTCCCCGAATTCTCGCTGCCTACGGAGGAAGGCTGATCCGGGGCTTGAAGGGCACCCGACATCAGAGGCTCATAGGACCCGGCACGAGCGCTTGACCCCGTAGCTTGACGAGAGGAAGCGATAGAGCTTGACAACTTTCGCCCATAGATTTTCGAGGGGCCTGCGCGAGTACGCCCAGCCGCCGAAGAGGTGGGCACATTTCTCACCTGAGACCCCAAAGAGACGGGTTTGGGCGGATTGGCCGGGGTGTGAGCATAAACCCGATGCCCTCCCTGGCCCTCTCTTTCCTGTTTCCCTGCTTGATGTCCCTCTGCGGTGCGAACTGGTTGTTTCCCTTTGGCGATCGATGAAAGCTCTTGCCGACGGTCTGAATTATCCTTTGCACGACTGCTCACGGTGGACTTGCGATGATCATGGCCGCGCTTTCCAGCTAACCATCCGAGAAAGCCTCCCACTGGTGCTGGGACACGAGGATATTCAGCCGACTTGTTTTTGGAGGAGCTGTTTGGGTGTTTCTCGGGCATGATGATGGTGGTGGTGGCGGCGAGATGTCGAACATGCGTGTCTCAAGCTATCCATCCATGTTATTTCTGGACCCCAAGCACGACCTTTATACTGGAACCACAAAGATTTGACGAAAGCACCACGAACAAAGCGGCTCACTCCACCGGAGAAGACCATTATGCGTATCGACGAGCTCCATCATGACTGAAAGAGGACGCGCAAGCAAGCAAGTGGAATGTGCCGGTTGGTGACGACAGAATCCACCCATTCGTTGTCCCCGAGCCTTTGTATAAATACATCGGTTTGTTCTCTCAAGGAATAGCCCTAAGACAACTCCTCCGAAACTCCCACACGCATTGGCACCCTTCTTTCAACCTTGAACACACCACGCAGTATGGCTCATCGTCTAATCCCCGACATCGACGAGACCTTGCCCGTCCACGAAGCCGAAGCCCTGGACCACCAGGCCCTGTCGCTCGTCATGAACCGGGCCTTCGATCGCATGGGCCACTGGTATTCGCACCTCATCTACACCTACGACTACCAAGTGAACATCCTCCGGACCAATTGGTCGGATCCAGGGCTGCGCCACACCGTCCTCGACCTAGTGACGCGCTCGCGAAATCACGGCCTCGAGGTGCTACATGGGGACATCCAGGACTGGGCCGCGGTCTTGTATCGAATGGAGCGCGCGCTCGCCGGCATCTTGACGGAGCTCCTCCTGAACCACCTTACCGATGAAGAGCGCGAGGATTCGCTCATGTGCCGGTTCCGTGAGGTGTTCGCTACTGGCAACGTCACGGCGGGCACCTCCTTTGCCTCCTCCTCCACCTCCTCGGTCGATATGGAGATTCTGCGCCAGTTGGAAGACATCGGTGAGCAGGAACGCGCCCGGCATCGCCGCCGGGCTCGCGCGACGAACCTGATGATGTGCATTGCGCTCGCCAAGCCCATCCAGATCCTGCGCTTGATGATTCCCCATCCTGCCAAGACTATGATGGAGCTCTGGAGCAATCCGTTCGACTATCCGGCGTGGCAGAACCACTGGCCGTGGGGTGGGGATAGTTTCTTCCCCCCCAGGGACCCGGTGCCACCCCCCACGCAGGCGGATGCTGCCCCCGTAGCCAGCCAGCGAGCGATCGGGCCGGATGACATATGTCCCATCTGTCGGGGCGAGTTCCAGACCGAGGACCAGGAGGCGGCGTTGCCCGTCGTCTGGTGCGCGCGCTGCGGGAATAACTTCCACGGCGCCTGTCTGTCGACCTGGCTGGACGGCGCGGGCTCGTGTCCAATGTGTTTTTGCTTGTGGCAGACGGGGCGGACTGAGTAGATTGAAGTTCAGTCTGCCTGCCTTACGCAGGATCTTCTTATCGAAATAGAATCGATTTCTAAGGTTATTATTATCCCATTGCTTTTTCCTAGCTCTGTGTCGCGAACCCGGTGATCCGGTATTGCATCTCTCACTGTGTCAACCAGGATCTTCCAGACCGTTCATCATAGACCAGAAAGCCAAACCACACCCAGTCGCTGATTGCTGTCCAGCTAAAACAAAGGCTTCCTCCCATAGACAACCTTGCTACATAATCATCAGCCCGGGCTCTCCTCACTCCGAACCACAGCACTTACATCTTAGTATACGAATGCAAGGACCGATCCTTCAACTGCTGGCGCACCAAGCCTTGCATGAGCTTCGTCCGTTCTTGACTCCAGCCCAGCACCTGCGTACACAGCCGCAGGCCATACGCCTCGACGGCCTTCTCGACCATGGCGGCCTGCACGCGCCCGATCTCGCGCAGCCGGGGGTCCTGCGGCCACGGCGAGAAGGGCAGGATGTAGGTCTGCTCGTGCACGTCCTCGAAGCCATGCGCGATCAGCCACGGCTTCAGGTCGATGTAGATGTTCAGCTCCCGGCCGATCATGTGTGCCGCGTCGTTCAGCGACATCAGGTACTCCATCAGCGGCGAGTCCATCCTGAGCGTGCCGTCGTCGCTCCACGCCCAGACGGCGCTCTCTTGGAGTTCGAGGTATCCACCTGGTTTGAGGTGGTCGTAGGCTTGTCGAATCAGGCGGTGCCAGTCGACGACGCAGCTGTTGAGGGGTGGTTAGTGTAGGGGTTGAGGTTGGGTGAGGGGGAGAGGACGGGGAGAGGGAGAGGGAGAGGGAGGGCACCGTACCCTGCTAGGTTGCGGGAGTGGATGAAGTCGTAGGCATTCATCTTCTCGAGCCAGTCGGATTCGTAATCGTCGACGAAGAAATCCACGTTGGGGGGCACCCAGGCGGGCTGGATGGGGCTGAGATCATTGCCCACTACGACGGCACCGGGGTACTGGCTGGCGCACACTTAGTAGGTGTTGCTTGCGTAGACATGTTACCTGAGGAGAGAGTCATACTCGGCGAAATCGATGGCCCAGTTGCCGGTCCCTGTGCCCAGGTCGAGCACTTTCTGGGGGTTTTTGATGGGGGCGTTGAACAACTCGCCCCCCATCAGCATGAGGTAGCTGGCCAATGGTGGTCAGCTCATGCTGCAAGAGGGAGGTAGTGCAGGCCAAGGAAGCTCACATGTGATGGGTCTGGCAGTGTTAGTACTTATTAGAGAGACGACAAGCAAGGGAAATAGATACCAAGTCCAGCCTTTCTTGTTCCTCTTCGTCATTAGGCATCCTGAGCTTGTCAATACTGTCCTATGCATCCCGAAGGGGTTGGATTACATGTAATTTCCCTACGGTCGCATACCCTTATTAGACCTTGGAACACTTGCTGGGAGAGGTTAACCTACCGAGCGAAAGCTGGCGTATCGACGACCATTCTCATACTGGTAGTCGAGGATACTGGAAGAGAGCGAATAGGAATCCATGAAGTCCTCATCATAGTCACTGCGCATCGACTGCGGGAGGGGGCAAATGCAGAGTCAACAGTCAACCAAGGACGACCAAAAAAACCAAGCATCACCCAGTGGACACTCCGGGCCGGGCCGCAGACACGAAACCTTACTTACCTCGGTGTCGGTAACAAAGTCTTCGTGCTCTGGAGGGGGACTCTCCGGCCCAAGAGGCGACAAAGGAGCGTGGGGCGGTTGGTGGCCGTGGGGCTCCGGGTCCTGTGCGTGCCCATAAGCGTTGCTCCCAGTGGGATGGGGGAACTGATGTTGCGGTTGCTGCTGTTCAGCGGTAGTCATGATATGATAAGGGTGACGATGTGAAGATGATGTGATTGAGGGTAAGTGAGAGGAAGAAGCAACAAGTGCGACTCTCCCCCTTAGAAATATGTGGAGAGAATCATGGGAACGCCATCCGACGAGCCGACGGAAATTGACAGGTGCAGATCGCAGGATTGCACCAGTCTCTCCCAGTCGATCCCAGTCGATCCCCGTTTATCCCTAGTTCGATTGTGTGACCTGAGTGTCGTCATTGCGATGAGCCTATAGCAAGCAGCAAGAGACAGGGATCGGGCAGCGCAAACGCCAAGAATGATCGCTTAGCTTCCTGCGTCAGCCTGTCATCAGATGCAGATCCCTACAGGTAGGGCCAGGAAGGGATGGAATACGTGGGTCCAACGGTGCCAACCATTTAGTCATACAAAACGAGAGCTGTCATTCTCGCTAAGTCTGTTAGACAGCGCACTATTGAAGTCAACGTGGGCGGGCACGCTTAGGTAGCTGTCCCACTGCGGTTAGGGCACTCCAGGCACTCCATCCAATATGAAGACACAACCAAAACTGCGGTCAACGCGTCCTATGCTATCGGTATATCTATATACAAAGCCAACATGGTCGTTGCCCTCCAATCCTGTCACCCTTCACCCTGCCACCCGCTCAGTGACGCTTGGGACGCGCCAGATGACGACGCATGGCATCCCGGCGCGTGGCGGCGGCTGAAATGGTGATGGTCTCCGAGATCCCGGCGATGCAGACCGTGCCCGCAGCCACACTCTGGGACGCATCCCATTCCCCATTGACGCAGCGCTGGAACGCACTGCCCCCGTTGCAGTACCAGTAGCCCTCCTGGCTGCAGGCGCCATTCAAAACCCCAGAGGTCGTCGACGAAGCCGAGCTCGAAGCCGCAGTGGCTACCGAAGTCGTGGCCGTCGTGGCAGGTTGAGAGAAACCCTCAGTAGCCGAGTTGTCGACTGAAGCACCAGCCTTGACTTGACCGGGCTGGAAGCTGATGTCGCTACCGGCGGTTGGCTGGGCGGAGATCGCGGTAGTCGCACTGGTCTCGGAAGGAGCTGAAGACTCAGTCGGGACAGCCTCCGCGGTGGCACTCACGACGGCGGCAGCAGTGGTGGCCTCAGCCGTGATGCCAGCAGAAGTAGTGGTCGTAGCGGCAGCAGCGGCTGCGGTCGCAGTGCTACCAGCAGTGTACAGCGCGGGGCCGGGAATTGTATACGTGCTCAACGTGTTCCAGATGTCAACGTAGATCCCGGGGTCGGTCTCCTTGTAAAGAGCAGTTCCCAGGGTGCCACTTGGGGTCGCTGTCTCGCTGCCCGTGACTTCCAGATTGATGCACTGGGGGTAGTTCTGGGCTCCGTCCAGGTTCTCGGCGCTGTGCAGGGCAATGATCTCGTGTCGCAAAACATAGTATCCCGGGGCAATATCGCTGGGAATAGTAATGTTGCGGCTGTAGCCATCTTCAATGAGCTCATCGGTCGCCCAAGTTCCAGGCACGTCCGTGTCATCGATCAGGCCGCCCGCATCGATCTTGAAGAATTCCAGGGTGGTCTTGTCCACATCAGCACAAGAACCGTGGCAATTGGCCATATACGTGATGACGGGGCCGTGATGGTCGGTGGGCCAGGTGTTCCAGGTCATCTGCACCCAGCCTCCGGGCGCGACTGGGGCCGACAACGCGCCGGGCGCAGACCCCTTGTGGCAGATGATGTTCACGCTCTCGTAGTCGGAGGGTGACACATAGCCATCATCCGTGGCATTGGTGGACCAGGCGATCAACTCGGGCGGGTCGGATTCGAAGTAATAAGTGTCGACCAAGTACCCTCCATATGTGGTACCGTCCACCTCGATGCTCGAGACATAGCCATGACCAGCGACCAGCGAGACCGAGCCCAGTAGAAGAGTGGCAATCTTGGAAAGAGACATATTGGCAGAAGCACCGCACAGCGGTGTGTTGGATAGAAAGTAGAAAGAAAGGAAGGGACTTCAATCAATGAAGCCCAGAAAGGAACGAAGGAGCGACTGAGGAAAGGAAAGACAGCTTGGCTGGATAGCCCTCCGATGCCAGAGGAGGGAATTCGCGTCTATTTAAGCATGTGGGAGGCATGATGTCGGATTGGAGATGACGAGGGTCGACAAAGAATTGAGCATCCCAAGCGAGATAGGCAAACCTTGTGCCTGGTGGCAACTGAGGCGAATGAACCAGTGGTTTGGCGTCTTGAGCAGCCGGGAAGTTTCAAGGCTGTCTAGTTTGTTTCACCAATTCTGAGACAGACCACACTCCTTCGTTACTTGACGCTGTGGTGGGCCTGCGGAAACACGCCATTAGGACGCCAGTGGCTTTAGCGAGATTGAGGTGGGCCCTCGGTGTAGGCGGAATGGGCACTCACAGGACGAGGCAGAAGAGTTGCGAAGTTGTGAAGAAGGTGAGGGAGAAAGAAGCAAGAATATTAAGATAATCTGGCAGAATGTCTGGGTTGACATTCAGAAAGCATGTGATACATCGTGATGTTGGTGTTGGTGTTGATGTTGATGTTGATGTTGATGTTGATGTTGATAAGGGATGCAGTACCTCCGCAGATGAAGAGCAGAGAGAGGACAGAGCACGTGATCATGACTCGCGGGAACAAGGGCCCGGAGCGGAAGAATCATGTTCCGTCCAGTCACGTGCTCTGCTTCCCCGCTCACCGCCAGACCGTGCAATTTACAGAGTGCTCGGCTCAGTCCCTTAACTATACATACTGTCATTCTGTTAGCAGATGGAAGGAGTAGTACTCATTCAACTTGACAGTCACAAATCAATATAGTACCCCGGCTTTCGCCAATAGACGATCTGCGTTGAGAGCAATGATGTCTCCGGTTGGTCGCATATCGTCTTGCCTTCGCTATTCTTCGGAATGCTTGGTATTTAACAAGTTATCTGAAATGGAAGGCAGGATATATGCATAACTGTCCGGTAATGTCTTCATTCCCCCCCCCCCAACAAACCGCAGTCGATGATCTCCTTCGCGGTCCATGATCGATGGTATTGAGTTCGTCGTCGTATGCTGGACCCAGAACCTTACTATATACTCATCGCCTTTCTGCCCATTAGGCTCGTTCGCTGGATGGGCTCGGATTCATACCGATATCAATCAGGGTTGTTCCGAGAGAGCGTTATCCGATACGAAGATAATCCTGATAAGCGCCACAAATGATGGCGAATCGACTGCTATCTCCCCCAGAACGTTATCGTTCGCGACCGCGACGCCCCCGGACTCGGAATGTACCGATTGCGCTATATGAACCCCAGACTGGGCCCCCTCAACATATCGACATGAAGTAGATCCGCTCATGCCTTGCGACGTGCTGCGATGGAGGAATTATCGCACCGCCAAAAGCCATACCCGTCGGTAACAACGAAAATGGGGAAGAGTGTTGAGTCCGTCCAGGACCAGCAAGATGTGGAGGTCGGCGTGGTGGCAGCCCTGGCTCAGGAAGGGCCGGGCCTCAAGCGCAATTTCAACATGATCAGCATCATGGCCCTGGGGTTCAACACATCCAACAGTTGGATTGCTATTGCAGGAAGCTTGCCCCTGGCTATTGCAGGAGGTGGCACGGTGACCTTACTGTACGGTATCTTGGTGGTGTGCTTTGCAATGTCCTGCACTGGGCTCAGCCTGGCTGAGCTGGCAGCTGTGTATCCATCGGCCGGTGGCCAATATTACTTCACTTCCATGTTGGCTCCGGCCCAGCATCGGCGGTGGTTGTCCTACCTGTGTGGAATCATCGGTATCTGGTCATGGGTGGCCATCGCTGCTTCGCTGTCATTGATGATCACGGAGGGTATCATGGCTTTGGTTCTCACCTATCACCCTACCTTCCTTCCACAATCCTGGCATTACTTTCTTATGTATCAAGCGGTGCATATCATTGCCCTGGCATACAATATTGGGCTACTGCCCAAGACGGTCTGGGTCTATGACTGGGCCTGTGAGTATTTGACCCATTGCTCTTTGAAGGCAACATCTTAATGGCGATGACAGTCTACTTCTCCCTGGCCCTGTTTGTTATCACCACAATCGTCTGCCCCGCACGCTCGGCCGTTCATGCAGACTCGTCCACCGTCTGGGGTCATTTCGTCAACTCCTCAAATGGGTACTGGTCGAATGTAATTGTATTCCTGACCGGTCTGTCGACCCCGTCCTACATGCTCATCGGTCTGGACGCCACGATGCACATGGCAGACGAGTGTCTTGAACCAGCACGGACAATTCCGCGTGCCATCTTGTCGACCGTGGGCATTGGTTCTGTGGCTGCCTTCGCGTTTGCCTTGGCCATGTGCTACAGTGTGACCGACTTTGACAGTCTGGTTGATGCAGCCTCAGGGTAAGGCGGGATGCTTAGGTTCAGTGTCTTTGTGCTAAGTTCAAATTTGACAGGTTCCCAATCTACGATCTATGGGCACAGGCAAGCCGATCGACAACCTGCGCGACGGTTTTTCTCGTCGTGATGATTTCGATCATGTTTGTTTCAGCTTGCGCGATCCATTCTACTGCCTCACGGTTGACCTGGTCGTTTGCATGCGACAACGGAATCTTCCTCTCGGGGTACTTGAAGCAGCTGGACCACCGACAGGGCGTTCCTCTATACGCTCTAGGCCTCAATTTTATTGCCTGCTTCGTGATCGGATTCCTCTACCTCGCGTCTTCTTCCGGTAGGAAACCCCAAAGATCGTCGTGGCCCACAAGCCGGGTCGTGAGTACGAGACTGACTTACTATCTCTAGTCTTCAATGCGTTTGTCGGAACTGCCAGCATTCTGTCGCAGATTTCCGTCACGCTACCAATCGCATTGCTCATCTGGCAGCGTCGGTCGGAGATCTACCTCCCCAGCGGACGCCACTTCGGTCTTTCGTCGGGACTGGGCTACTGCTGCAACATCGTCGCTGTGGTCTATACCATAATCGTCACGATCTTTCTCTGTTTCCCCACATCCTTTCCGCTTACGGGTGGCAATATGAGTGAGTTTCTCGCGGGTTCTTGCCCTCACTGGTCTGATGACTGACGTACTTCGATTCCTAGACTATACCGCTCCAGTTCTCGGGGTAATTGCAATCCTAACCGGGCTGAATTGGGTGTTCTATGCGCGTAGTCGATACGAGGGTGCTCACGTGGGGTAGCGTACATCGCATCGGTGGACTTTTCCTAGATAATGAACTTATGACGCTGGCGTTGAATCCACTCGGAAAAGCTTGTGCGGTGCTTCTTATTCCACGTAGATTAGAGAGAGTGGGCTTTGCCCACCGGGGGTCCGGAATGTCCTTCGGAACGGTTCCTATCGACTACCGTTTCAGATAAGATAAGATTGAGGCGTGAGGGGGGCGTACCTATGCCTATACGGATACTGCTACTATCGTAGAAAGATTCAGCCTCCAAGTCAGCACCGAAATTCAACTACTCGGTCGACTGGACATGAGACTCATGCTCTGTTTGTCTTGGGACTCGAGTATATATTGGCTCCATTTTATCATTTGGAATGAGCTAGATACAAGGGTCGGGAGAGGCTCTTCCGTATGTTGAGAGTATTTGTGAATAAGTTGACCAGTACACTAAACTCCTCAGACTCTCAGACATTCAGCTCTAACTGGAGCTATGTGTCCTGGATCCATGATCTGATAAGGGCTTCTTGACTTCGGGTGTCAATCGGATTGTTTCGGCAGGTCGGCTGCTGCCGGTTTGGAGCCCCGCAAAACCGCAAAACCACAAATGAGGGTCGCCGAAATATCCCCGTTCTCGGATCCGACAACCCTGCCTTTGCCTGCGAATTATAGCATTGCAGCATTGCAGCATTGCAGCATTGCAACAAGATGCCCGATTATGCAATAGGGGCCGAATACTAGTGATTTATTTGGTCTGACTCTTTCCTCCCTTTCTCCCCCTCGTTCAGTGTCCAAATCTCTTACCACTCAATCTCCCCTCAACCACATCTATTCACTCATTTAGCCTGCCACTCAAACCGCGGTTCTTCGGCCTATAAACTATAGGAAGTACACACTCATTCTTTTCTCCTCTGCTCAGCTCTATACACTGAATGTATGGTCCAGCCGCTACTGCCAACAATACGAAATCTTACTAACCCCTCGTGGCAGACACCATGCTCATCACCCGCGGATTCTCCCTAACGAACTTCGTCATCGCCAGCTCGGCCCTCTGCTTTCAAGTCTTCGTCCTTTATCCCTGGCACCACAAGCTCGAGGACGACTTCAAGGAGCTCAAGAAGGAGCACTTGCGTCTGTTGCAGGAGAATGAGGATAGCCGGGTGAAAGAGCTGAAGAGTATCAAGGAGCACCTCGGTCTTCTCCATCAGAAGGCTCAAGCGTGAGCGACATTGTGAGGCATACTACGGGCACTTTCGAATGATTCATGCATTACTTACATCAGCGGGATAGAGATAGACTGCATGCGTAGAGGAGGACGCGGGATTGTATATACTGCGCGCACGAATCGAACGCCTTCTTGCTCTTTTGCTCGACGGACACCTCCAGATATAATTGGGTGCAACATACAGTGACTCGGGATCCTAACGGTTATGATCCACTGGAAAAGATCAATCGTGCCAGAACGATATCACAGCCAAGCAGGAAACACCATGATTGTCACATTCTGATTAGCTTGCTAACTTGGATACGAATTTCAAACTAGCTCTCGCCCCAACACTACCCACCCTTAGGCTATCAGGCCGATACATTGACAGCTGCGTTGGCAGGGCCCGTGACAGCCGCTTTAGCAGCCGCCTCCAGGGCGTCCCTCGCAGTCCCAGCGGCAGCTCTGTCGGCAGCCTCATTGGCAGCCCCGTTGAGGGTGCCTTTGAGACCCCTCACATTGCGATCCGCCCGCACAAACGCCTTGTAGCTGGGAAACAGCCCCTGGGGATCATACTTCTCCCGGACGTGCAGGAACTTCTGCAAAGCCGTGTCGGTGATCACCCGCGCCTGTACTTGTGTAAGTATCACATATCAATCGGTGGGAGACAAACGTACGTTGACCTCCTCCCAGTTCGGATCCAGATCCACGACAAACATCCCCACAGCAACAGACAGAGCCCGCTCATACCGTTCTTGGATATGCTGGCGGAGACTTGACTCGCGCTTGGGGTCCGTCCAAATAGTCGCCGTCATCAGATACAAATCCTGGGGCAAGCTCATCACCATCTCGTTCTCGTCGGGCCGCTGGTCGCAGTGGTAGATGTATACGTTGGATTGCCGGGTGGGCAGATCTAGCAGGGCGGGTTTCATGGTTTCCAGCAACTGACCTTTGTTAGTGCATACTCCGATGGAGCCTGTGAGAGAGAGCAGGAGAAGAAGAAGAAGAAGAATATAAGAAGACTCAAGGCCAACTCACCCGAGGTAGCGAGCAACCCGGATCGCTGAAGATACTATTGTTGTGGACGCGGGTGCCCGGCCCCGGACCGGCTTCTCCGGCCGCCAGAACTTCCTCGAAGGTGCACTTCTGGACGGGCTGTTTGTCGAGCATGAAGTCCTGCACCTCGTCGACTTGGTCGTAGGCACCGAGCATGGTCTGCGCTTCAGATTCTGTGTCAGCGTAGCAGTACAGCAGCAACGTGAGGTGCAAGCGGGCCCCCGGGGGGACCTCATCCCCGGTGGCGTCCACTTCATCCTGCGCGTACGCAATGGCCATGTTCAGATCCGTGTGCTCCTTGGGAGTGGCCCGACCGGCCTCGATGGCCCAGGTCAGCAGCGTCTCGTAGTTGTCGTGGTTGATCTCAAATTGCAGGGTCCGTTGCCAGGGATTCTTGGCGGGGATGGTCTTGCCCCAGAACCGCGTCACAACCCCAAAGAAGCCCAGTCCGCTACCGCGTGCGGCCCAGAAGAGGTCGGGGTAGTGTTCGCGGTCCGCAAGGACCGTCTCCCCGGTGGGTAGGACGATCTCCATCCGGGTGACGAAGGTCGCGGCGGCACCAAGACTCCGCATGAAGAACCCTTGTCCGCCCCCGAGAAGATAGCCGGCCATGGCCACGGTCGGAGCATGGCCAATGGGAAAGAAGCGGCCGACTTCGCTCAGCTTCTCGGTTACCTCGCTGATGCGGCAGGACGGCCCAAAGGATATCTGCGTGGTGACCTCGTCGTAGTCGACGTGTCGGTTGAGGTTAGTGGTGTCGATCAGGATGCCGTCTTGCACGAGATAAGGCGATTGCGCGGCGTGGCCCGATGACCGCACGCTCACGGTGGTTCCAAGCTCGGTGGCTCGATTCAGGGCTTTCTGTACGTCCGCTGGGCTCTCCACGAGATGGATCTCACGGGGATAGCGAGGGCCGGCCGCACTCGGGTTCATCTCGCGACATCGTTCGTACTCGGGCTCCCCGCGGGCGAGAACCTTCGAGGAGTACTCGGGGTGTGTGATGTATTCAGGTGGTGCCATTGTGTTGAGATTGATCGGAACTCGATGCTGTTGAGATTGTATGAGGACTCGAACAGTAGCAGAATTGCAAGGCCATCTATATAGCTTCCCATCCCCATCCTTGACTCTTGACGTCACTGGACGAAGGTGGCTTGATGAAAGAGTGGTCAAATCCTATTTTGGAGCGTGTTCTGGTGTCTATACCAGACGCCATCAACTAGTCGGGAAGAGTAGTATCCATGGTTGGCAGGTTGCGGCATGTGCAGCATGCAAGGGTGAAACTGAAAGCTGGAGAAACTCTGGGATGACCAGGGAAATGGTGCCTTGAACCTGGAAGATCTTCGTCTGACACCGTGCTGGGCGGGCCCTTTTGACTGTCTGGAATGTCAGAGGCGTGCATGACGGTATCATCGAGGGGTTGTATGACGAAGGATGATGGTTTACAGTAACCTACACAGTAGGCGCCGTGAGCAAGCAGTCAGATGCTTTGCACTGCGGCCAATTCTACTCTGCGATCAAACCATCGCCCTCCTCCCAGTCCTTGATGGGATAATCTTCTCTGCGTGCTCAACATCAGTCATTTGTCCGAGCTGCCGCAAACCTGTCAATTAGTCTTGGTTATTCTCGCCGGATATAACTTCGCTTTCCGTCAAGCTCGTCTCAGATAGGGACAATATCGATGTTTATGTGGTGTACAGGATGAACACTTTGATCCTGCATGAGGTCAGACATCTAAGTTGTCAAGTATTCGAAAGATGAAGAAGAAGAAGAACAAGAAGAAGAAAAAAAAAGGCTCAAGGATGGTTAACCTGATGCTCATTGGCAGCATAAGTTAGGGCTTGCAACATTCAGGAGTGCCGATGTCGGATGCGACCGAGGCAATTTGATTCTATTCTCGTCCCTGATGTCAACCATGATCTTCTTCATCTACGGAGTAGTCGCGGCTCCACTTGGCGAAAAAGTCCTGCATCAGTAGCCGAGTCTTTCCGTCACGCTTCCACCCAGAACCAAGGAATTATGACATATCATAATTTCCATTGCGACCCTTGCTACTGGCTGTTTGCCGGTGATGGCGAGCAAGCGACCGTCTCACGCAGTCCAGAGCTCCCCCGCAAGGCTTAATCAAATTCGGGATGGATGAAACCAGTCCTTGTCGGATGTCAACCTTACTCTGATGTCATCGCGCCCTCCTGACGTCTGCTAGAGGACGGGGGACCCGCTCGATGAAGCGGAAAGATGGTCACTGGCTAATGATCTCAATCTCAGACATCGATCTAGAATTGAGTCCTGGTTGATCTGTGTCGGCCAGCTCGAAGCAAGGACACCTTTTTTGGTCTACCGATGACACTATTCGAGGGCTCGATCGATTCTCGACGATTATCACATGGCTTTCCAGGTGACTGGATTGATGATAATGCAATGCAAGGGTTATCTTTGACTGACAGTCTAGAAATCTTTCTTTTTCTGCGCCCCGTCAGTCTTGAGCGAACTGCCACATGGTTGACTCGATCGGCATCAGGAGCTCGTGAAGATGGGGACATGTCATAATGCGCCGGAGGCCTGAGCGAGAGATACTCATTATCTGTTCACCCGTCTCGTATTTTGGCCGCGATAGATATCTAAACTCAATTCAGATGTGTGATCGCTCATCCACATTCACCCCGTTGTCGGCCGGGAATGCTCGGCGAATGTAGCAGCTTTGCCGAAGCCGAAGCCGAACCTCCACAGCATGGAGAGCTTCAAACTCCGGTCGGCAGTAGGCAGTAAGTTATCTTGGAACTAATCGTAAAGGAGTCTTCTCCAGAATACTGCTTGTTCTCCAAATGTACTGCCTCCGTGAAAACCAAGGAAAAGGGGGAAGACTAGGTCTTTTAGGTTTCCTTGCAGTCTGCCCCGGGATGGAGATACGAGGGCGAATGCACAAGTCACAATTCACAATCGCCAACAGATGCAGTTCGGCAAACGGGCGCTCCACCTTCCAAGCCTCACCTTCCCGTACTCATCCAGCGACTGCCGATTGAACCATGGGTCAAAGACTTCTGGAAGCTCTAGTTCTCAACTAGTGCTACTGCTCGGACATGAGTGTGCCTGAGGAACTGGGCCGGTCCGGCTCCGATGAACTTCGAAGGTTAATACAATAATACAGTCATAATATCATAAGAGACGGTGTTAAGAAGGCCCCCATTCAAGAGGGAAGGACTCTCAGACAGCGGTGCAGTGGAAACTAAGCTCGTTAGGGCATGCCCCGGCGTGTCGAGTTGCTGGGGGCAATGGAGGACGTCCAACCTGTCGGCGAGGAATCCCGGCCATAAAAAATCTTTATTCCACCACGCCGCATCCACTCCTTGCGAAAAACGATTCGACAAGTGTCGAGGGGGATGCAATGATGCATCGCAATGGGGACTGGAAGGAGCGGTAAGATTAGAAAAGGAGAAGAAATGGCGACGATGAAGTGGGTCTCTTTCCCCCTTCCCGCCCCCTCCGTGAGAACTTGAGAAGCCACCAAACCACACCAAGACCGATCCTGCAGATCCACTTCCCAACCATTGCCGGACACAAATCTGGTGAGTGACAGATGTCAGAAGTCAATTCACGGCATAACTGCAGTCGATTCTACAGGTGACCGTTTATTATTTCCCAAATCGCCGCCTTCATAACCCTATTTGGGACAGGCTGCTGGTGGTAGCCTGACGCCAAGTGGATTTGCCCGGGGATTCACTTACACATCACATTTGCCATGCTCCGCTCACTACGGAGTACACTAAGGCACGACAAAAAAAGAAATGATGAAGAGAATTGACAGAAGACGGAAGACTGAAGAAAATGGCAAAAGAAGACGAAAATCTCGATTTCGGGGGGGCCCCGGTTCATCGTAAATAGCAGATCGATCGCCCCCTTCTCGATGGACCACCTCGTAGTCAACTTGCTGTTCAAGTCGGTCTGGTCTGTCTGTCTTTCTTTGCTTTTCCTCCGATTAGACTGTCGATTTGCTGGTACTATTGATTGCAAGCAAGAACCCTAATTCCCCATCTACACATCCAACCATGGTTCTGCAGGGCAAATCATCCAACGTCCCCCGGCATGTTGATCGGAAAGCCCTCTATACCGATCTTGGGGCACGAGTCCACTACTTGCAGCAGTTTCTAGAGTTCAGTGAGGGTCAGTGCCGTCTGGGTCCAATTGCCACTTGAATGGTCCTCCGTGACTAACGAAGATCTTGAATAGATGATGTCGCCGCTCTCAACAAGGGATCCAAGTACATCAAGGCGCTGGCGCCTACCCTGGTCGATAAAGTATATGCGAAGCTCCTCGAGAACGATATCACCGCTCGCGTCTTTCGCACACGCGACACATCCCTGGAAGATGAGGAGGAAACCACCTATCCCACCTTCGATAGCGCCTACATTCAGCGCCGCCGGATGTTCCTGCGCTGGTACATGACCAAGCTCTGCTCGGACCCTACCAAGCCGGAATTCTACGAATACCTGAACAAAGTCGGGTAGGTGAATCTGTCCCCATGGTTGTCTGGCCCCTCGAAAACCCTGCTAACTCCTATATCAGACGGATGCACATTGGCAAAGACCGCATGCTCGCCTTCCACGTCGAATACATCCACATCGGCGTGTGTCTCGGGTACATCCAGGATATCATCCTCGAGGCAGTCTTCAGTCACCCACAGCTCACGCTCGCCTTCAAGTTGGCGCTGGTCAAGGCATTGAGCAAGGTGATCTGGATCCAGAATGATCTCTTCGCCCGCTGGCAGGTCCGCGACGGCGAGGAGTTCGCGGAGGACGAGACTGAGTCGGTTCACGAAAACAAGGAGCAGCATCACGATGATTCGGCCTCGTACATCACTCGCTCCAACACCCAGCTCTCCGAGGCCCCGAGTAGTATCTTCTCCGATACCCGGTCAGTTGACACGACCACCAGCCATTTCACCGCCACAATGCACGCCCCAAGCTCATCGCACTCCTCGCACTCGGCCTGCCCGTTCTCGGGCGGATTCAAGCAGTCCTTCGAAACGAAGGTCTGGTCAGGGCCAGACGGGAAAAGAGGTCACTGACCGACCTCCGTTGTGGCATTGATGAATTTCCTTTTGGGCTTAGGTATAGGTATATAGGCATAGAGGGATTAGAGGTGTAGGAACACATGGGATACTTGGGAGGGTTGTGGGAGTGTCGGGATTTTGGGAAAAGACTTGGGTTTGGTGTTTGGTCTGGTTGATTGCTTGATATGCTGCTTTTGATTCCCCTGGCTCTGCAGAATTGAATGACTGTTTGTCTTTTACAGTGAAAAATTAAACGTACCTTGTCAAGTTGAACAGTATTGCGTACTTGGTTCCAGACGTTGACTGGGACGGCTTGCGCCGGCATCGGATTCAATATATATTATCCACTTTTTGTAGTTATCCACCACAACATAGACTGGAGGTTTACCACGGTGTTGTCAGAGCCATATATCCTTGCATAAATTCGGTACACTTAACAGCAGGCAAGCCAATTGTGGCATCGGATTGAAAGGGAAAGTGTCCAGGTCGACTACTTAATGGTATCACCATGGACGGGCTATTACTCTACAGGACTCGATGAAGGTTCATGCCACGATTTTTCGACTGATGTGCCCCGACAAAGCTGAGATAGCTACGGATAGCCCGAGCTTGCCATCAACCTGGAAGGATAGGACTGAGCACCTGGGAGTAACCCTGTAGTGGCGGTCACCGGAAGACCATCCGTCGAATTCGCCTACGACCTAATCCCATTCCCCCCTCTATAATCAAGCATATTCCACCCTCTCGTAGCCACAAAGTCCATGCATTGGATCCGACCAAGTCGTGCTCCCAAGTAGCCCGTGATGAATTGGGGGATGTATGCGAGCGTGGGTGAATCGGGTCCGCAAACGGCCGGTCGGACTTTCCAGAGCAGAGAACGTTTGAAGGCTTTCATCGCAAGGCTGCTCGGGGAAACGAAGACGGCGCTTTCCGATTGAAAGAGACATGTTACTTCTGCTTCGATCACGTTCGTCTCAAAGCTCCATTTGCAACGAGCGGATCTCGTGGAACATGTTGGGACTTGGTGGAGGGTCGGAGGACCTTGAAAGTGGGTGATGAGATAGATCTAGAGCATCCACACAGAGAGAATAGGAGCGAGACGAGCTAGAAATTAGCATTTGAAGGTGATAACGCGCTGTTGTTGGTGTGTCGGTGGAGAAGGGAATGAGAGCCCCAAGCTGGAGTGTCATGGCACAAGCCTCATTGTAATTTTGTCAGTGCGTGATCGAGTAAGAGAGTAGAGGTTCGACCTATTCAGGTGAGGATAAGAGAAGTAATGAGCTTGGCTAGATCAAGAATGGTGGATGTTTTGTCGTCTCAAGTGATAGAGAGATTGGTGTTGAGTGGTTGAGGTGGTGGTGGGAGAAGAGAAACAGAAATGGGCTGCGATCGAATGCCCGACCCGTAAATATCACGTGAGTTGTTGCGATTTGTTGCCTTGCTGCCTTGCTGTCTTGCTCGCTTGCTGCCTGGCGCCCGGCTATCCGCTACTGCCTAAGGCCGCGAGGCCTCCCCAACTCTGCTCACCGGGGGGAGCTACTGGAGGGAGGTGTTCAACAAGCAGTATGCTTTGTTGATTGCTGGGACATGAACGATGCTTGTTTACCTGGCAAGTAGATACTCAAAGGTATGAGTAGTACTAGGTAAGCGGCCAAGGATTGTCTCCGATAGGTCCGATGCCATTCGGAATCCTCCGAACCCCACTTCACCGGGTCGGGTGGGCACATTTGGAGACATACAGTATACCTACTTAGGAGTATACGTTAAGGCCATAAATTCGCATGCAAGGTTGAGTTGCTGTCTATGTCGGGGGCTCAGAGACCCCCGAATAACCTCACAACTAGACCATCGAATCCTCACATCGCCGTCGCAACAATGATTCTTCTCCCCCCTCACCAGATGGCCCTTGTCCAGGCCGAGCCCTCCAGCTCCAGTCCCTCCACCCCAGCCCTCACCACTACAAAGGCCATCCCCCAACCTGCTGGTCCCTATGACATCCTGATTCGAGTCACCGCCGTGGCGCTCAACCCCACGGATTACAAAATGCCATTACATCACCCCACTCCCGGCGCAACGATGGGCTGCGACTTCGTCGGTACAGTCATGACAGCTGCCACCGCCAGCACGTGGGATGGAGAAGCCCTTCCCCAACCCGGCACACGCGTTTGCGGTGCCGTTCACGGATCCAATCCGGGCAGTCCTAACATTGGCGCGTTCGCCGAGTACCTCGTGGCCGATGCGCGGCTCGTCCTCCGCGTGCCTGTGGCATGGAGGGATCTTGAAGCGGCGGCACTGGGCGGCATTGGCTGGGGAACGCTGGGGCTGGCCTTTTATGACACTCTCCGGCTCGAGGGCCGGCCATCGGCGCCGGTCCGCCCTAAGGCAGATGGGAATCGTGTGCCTGGCTTGGTGTATGGCGGCGCCACGGCAACGGGGACCATGGCTTGTCGATTGTTAAGTTTGTATGTGCAGTAATAACCCCTTGTCGCTTCGTCATCTCTCGGGTGCTGATGTTGAACGTGTCCATAGATCCGGATACAGCCCCATTGCCACGGCCTCTCCGGCCTCTTCGCACTTGGTCCAATCGTACGCAGCAACATCGACTGTCCCCTATACCGTTCCGGACTACGTGGCTAGAATCAGGAAAGAGACCAACGCATCGCTGCGCCACGCGCTAGATTGTATCACGTCACCAGAATCCGCGGCAATTTGCTGCGAGGCCATGTGCCGGGCTGGTGGCATATATGCATCTCTGGAGTTCTGCCCAGAAGAATGGCGCAAGCGGAAGGTCGTCCAGATGGAGATGGTGCTGGGCTATGAGATGTTGGGGAAGGAGGTCATGCTGGACGGCGTGTATCATCGTCACGAAGACGTCCGGAAGTTAGAGTTATCGACCGGTTGGTGTCGCGAAGTGCAAGTGCTGGTGGATCAGGGCTTAATCCGATCGCATCCGGTCCGGGAGGTGGAGGGGTCATGGGAGGGGATTGTGAAGGGATTGCTGGTGTTGAGGAAAGGGGAGGTCCGGGGAGAGAAATTGGTGGTCCGTTTGAGTGATTAGAGCACTAAGTTTGGTTTCTCTCTCTGTTCCCAGGGCGCAATCTTTGTCGGGGTGGGGACAGCCTTGCTCAGGAGATGCTGCATCTAGCATATAAGTTTTAGCTATGTGGGCGGCACCACTTACATTTTCGGGCAATGCGATGCATGGGGGGCTGCTCCTGGAACTATCTTCTGGTCTTAATGTATGTGTTTTATTCTTGACGGTCTTGCTTTCGTCTGTTGAGAGGTTATCTTAAGGGCTGAGGGGTGAGAGGCTCCAGTTGAAGGGTGGCTTTCATTTGAACGCGGTGCTCTGAACAAGAAGAATTAACAAGGATTGGCAAGGGCAGAAACACGCAAATCTATACTACACATATGAATATCTACTGCTTGGCTTGCTCCACGTCTTCCTGTTCCGCTTTCTTCTCCTCCAACCCATACTCCGTCTCGAGCTCTGTCCGAAGCTTGATCTCCTTCTCGAGAAACACAAGCAGGAACGACACCCCAGAGAACACGATCGAGATCTGCCACACCCGCTTGAGCGCGTCCACGTACACCCCAATGATATCATCGCGTAGCGCGGGAGAAAACGACTGGATGAAGCTGGCCGACGCCGATTCATAGGTCCGCCCGCGTGACAACGGCTCGCGGACCTGCGCATCGGGAATCCGACCGGACAGCTGCTCGAATCGGTTGTTAAAGATCGCGGCGGGGATGGCCACGCCCCAGATGTTCCCAAAGCTGCGAACGAACGACCAGGTTGCGGTGGCTGCCGCCTGGTCGGACTCGGCCATCCCGGTCTGGCACGCTGGCAAAAGGGTGTTGAGCACAAACCCGGATCCACCCCCGGCGATCATCTGGAAGATGACCCATTCGGCAATGGTGCTGTTCCGATCGAACAAAGTGAAGAGACCCAGCCCAATGGTGCAGACTGCAAAACCAATCAGGTGGAGGGGCTTATAACGGCCAAATTTGGCCAGGATGAGGACGGCGACAACGGCCGCGGGCACAGCCACGACAATGATGGGGAGGACCTGTACCCCAGACCGCTCCGCGGAGGCGCCCAAGACGGCTTGGAAGTAGACCGGCAGGAAGAACATCACCCAATACAACAACGCAGAGTTCAAGAAAGTGGCTGCAAACACGGTGGCTGAGGTGCGGTTGCCAAAGAGTCGCGGTGAGACCACCGGTTCGCGGATCCAGGGAGAGTTTTCCAAGGCGACAAAGATCAGCAACCCTACGAGGCCAAGAATGAGGGAGACGAGGATGTGCCACGATGACCAGTCATACTTGGTCCCTCCGTAGGTGAGCGCGAAGAGCACCGAGACCGTCGATGCGATGAGAATGGTGTTTCCGATATAGTCGATGCGACGGATCTTCTGAAGGAAGCTCATCTCTTTGTTCGATCGAACATGGAGGAAGAAGAAGATCATGGCCAAGGATACTCCTCCAACCGGGAGGTTGATATAGAATACCTAGACTTAGGTGAGCGGTCATGCTTGGGCCGATCAGGGTGCAGTCTGCCGGTACTCACCCATCGCCAGGTCGAGTTGTCCACAATAGCACCTCCAATCCACGGTCCCAATGCTGTCCCGACGAAGTATACCAGGAGGACAAAAGCCATGTAGTTTCCTCGCTCGCGCAGGGGCATCAGATCCGATACAATCACGTCCACGATCATATTGATCCCACCACTGCCCATCCCCTGCACGGCACGGCCAGCAATCAGCATTGCGCCATTGTGAGCTCCACCACAGATCCCGCTTCCGAGGGTGAACAGAGAGACAATCACGAGGGTGATCCATCGGCGGCCAAAGATGTTGGCCAGCTGGCCGAACAGAGGCTGTACCGCGGCGCTACGAGACACATATCGGTCAGTGGATCTCAATTGCCGTCTTTGAAGGTGCCCCCTACCTGGTCAGGAAGAACACATTCGTCACCCAGATGTAGTTCCCACCCATGTTCAGTTCCGTGACGATGTGCGGCAAGGAGGTGGTCACCACCGTGTTCTCGAGGGCACTCAGAATGCCGATCACACAGAGAGTCGCGATAATTATCCAGAAGCGGAAGCCCCTTTCAAACGATGGACCGGCCTTTTTTTGCTTTTCCTGTTCACTGGAACTCTGCTCGGTGGATGCCGAGCTGGCAGAGGGGTCAACGGGAGCTTGTTCAGACATGCTGACCGTGAGATGAAAGAGAGATCAAAAGTGTCACGTTCGTGCGCTTTGCTTGGGATCCATTGAGATATGAGGCTGGACAGGGAAGGAGTCGAATGCATTTTTATTGGGGACCAAGTGACTTGGTCGGAGCATTGTTTGAGCTGGTCGGGGAGTCGGATCGGAGACTTACAGGGATGGTGGTTAGGGCTACCCTCCGAAAGGACAGAAACACAACACAGCACAGCACAAGCTCTCCTGTAGATTCAGGGGAGGGACCATATAGAGATCGGAGATGGGAGATTTGAAGCAGATAGGCTGCGGAGTGGCAATGTTAGTTGTTGAGGCCTACCCTTCTTTCAGCTGCGCCTGCAACCTTCCCCCCTCGACTGTTAGGTAAGCGCTAACTTAGTCTAGGCCACCACGATCCTCGTGCTATCTAGACCTTTTTTTTTGGGTCAGTCTTGGTAGCATAATCGGCCCCCATAAGGAAACATCCTGCTGCGGAGTGATCCTCCCTCGCGCGTGTCCTCTTGTGAGTCTATGTATTTATGCAGTTTGAGTGTGGCTGGCGGCGTGCGTCTTCCTTTCATATTGCGCCTTCTCTCGGGTTGATTCCTCATGGTCAGATTATACCTTCCCCTCACGTTTCTCCGCTCTGTTTGCTCTGGGTTTGATTTTTCCCTTCTCTTTTGATCGCTTATGCTCTCCCCTCTCTGCGTCTTCCACGCGCGAGTTTGGCATAAGCAATTTCTAGCTAGAGATCATGCTGATGTGGATTTGCGCTTGCAGCGGCTGGACGACCCCACCTTGCTAGGCCCCTAGGTACCTAGGCAGTGTCCGTCATCTGAATCACCGTCAGAGCCGTGATCACATTCCCAGTCGGAAAGTCTTCACAGATTTGTTTGTCATCGTCGGGGAGCGATCGATGCGTATCACAGACTTGGCAGCGCGCCCTGCAGCCCGAATCAAATTGTCTCTTGGAGGATGGGATGACAAGAATGAAAGATGGTAAGCTCCAGGCTAAGCTCCAACCCGAAGAGGCAAAGTACGGGAGTAGTAAGAGAGAAAATAAATCAATGGCGATAGTAAGGTAACGGTGATGCACTGCCAGATCAGGTATTGGTTGACCAACACTACTAGGTAGGCTAAGGTACCTTCCTACCTACCTAACTTACTGCCAGATGTGTAAGATTTGGTTAGTAAGCTGACGCTCGCTCGTAACTACTGCATAAGATCCGTACAGAACCTAGTGGTAATTTGCCAAATAACAGGTAACAGTCAGTGAACGTGGCTAGATAAAGTACGGTGTGGTGTAACTTATATGGCTATGGCTTCAGCCGCCTCACCATCACCACCATCATCATCATCATAATCATCACTTTTACCTTTCACGTCTCCAGGAACTCTAGGTAGACGGTAGACGAGGGGGAGGACCTACAGGAGGAGCGACGACGAACGCTGAATCCCATACTCTGACATCTATTCCTACCAATCCACCCAAAACCGTTCGTGATGGGGAACTACTCCTTGGGAGGCGAAGTGCACCTGAGCTCTCTCCAGGCCGAGACGATCGTCTACCCAGCAGCCAAACGGTATGCCTGCGACCGTTGTCGCACTCAGAAACTGCGCTGCCCACGCGAACAGCAGGGTCTCCACGATCCCTGTGCTCGTTGTATCCGAGCTGGAGTGGAGTGCGTCACCAGCGATGCCAAACCCTTGGGCCGCCCATCGCGCTCCGATCATCGCTCGATTCCGCCCTCCCGAAGGCAACATCCACAACATCCACAACCTCCACAACCACCCCAACCACCACAACAAAGCATGGACAGCATTCAGACTATCGAGATTCTCGAAAATGACAATGGGATCACCCCCTCAGCCATCCCTCCATGCATTGACCCCACCACTAATCAGACCATGGCAGAGGGTTGGGATAATGCATTCCTCCAATGGAACCACCAAAACGGGTTCTCCTTGGGGCCTCACGACCACCACCTCAATGACACCACCATGCTGGATGGAGACACGGCCCCAATCAACTCGGATCTCGCCCTTGCATTCCCACCCTTGGCGACCGATACACCATCCCTGACGCCTCCATCTGCATCGGCTTGGGTCGACCCAGCTGAGCCCCTGCAGTTTCCGGACCGCGAAGAGGATGCCGTGCGGCGGTTGGCCTCGCTTGCTGGATCACTGCAGGCCCTCTTGGCCCGGACGGACCCTTCACTGTGAGACAGTATCTTACTGAACATTGCGTGCTCAAACGGGTCGGGTCCGGTCACCGAGTTGCCAAAATGGAACCCACTGGATGAGGCGCTGAAAGGCACCGCTGAGTTCGTCGCGATTCTGCAGGCGTTACACCCCTCCCCATCACCCCCGGGTTCCTTGTCTCAGCCACGTCGCAGCCCGGCAGGGTCGGCAGAGAGACCCCCGACAGACTCGGGTCCCAATCGATCAATGGGTGGGGAAAGTCCAATGAGTGGCGGAAGTCCCTCCCAGACCGCCGTGTTCTCCACCCCCACCGTGCTCATGGTCATTGCATGCCACATGCAGATCATTCAACTCTACGACTTCATCTTCACGCAGGGTCAGATCTCTCTGCAGGCCATGCCAGAAGAGGAGATTGCCAACTTTCGCATGCTGGGCGGGTTGCAGGTGGCAGGAATCCCGCTGACCCAGGGCCATCTGCAAGTGAAGATCCTCATTCAAGTGATCGAGCACCAATTGCATCGCATGGAGAGGCTGATGGGGCTTCCCGTGGAGTTCCGGATCTCCGGTCGCTCGGAGGTATACCAGGGCTTATTCAATACTTTGGAATCGGTGACCCTGCTACGGGCTGCCTTGAGCCGGACGGAAGGAATGCAAAGCACTACGGGTGTTCATCAGATCCTGTCGCTGAAAGAAAACATGAAGAGTATCCAGCAGATGTTATGATCCTTCAATATCCGTTCTCTGCTTTTGCTAGCTTTGGGAAATGAACCTTTCTTTTCTTTTCTCCTCCTTTGCGTGCGCATATGGAATGGACTTCAGTAACAGTATCCTGATTCGGCATGAGTACATCTGCAGTGGGTCATGTGAGATAGATGGTCTTGTACGATGACACGCTTCCACGACCAATGGCTCTAAATCATCGACTCCCCTGCGCTGGGTCTGGAGACCGGAGTGTATCGGACAATCACCGGTGGCTTTTCCCAGATGGCGTACAGGCGCAAGTCCCGCTCCCAGTCCACCTCCCCTTGATTCAACAGCTCCCAGTCAAACTCCCAGATCATCTTGGCCAAGTGAATCCGGGCCTGCATGTATCCCATGTTCTGTCCGATGCATCCGCGGGGGCCCATGCTAAAAGGCTTGAATGCGCTCTTGACGTCCGCATCAATGAGACGGTCATATTCCGGATTGTTTGAAGGCAGAAATCGCTCGGGATGGAACTCCCGAGGCTTCTGAAAGTACCGCGCCGAATGCGTGACTGCAAAGCCCGCCGTCTGCACCACGCACTACCATCCCTGCTAGGTTAATCTCCGCTTCTCACCATGCTAGGCGTAGGTGTAGGGGGCAACTGGACTCACCCCAGCTGGAATATAGTGGCCATCCACCGTGTCCCCAGGACTGATGCGAGGAAGTCCAAATGCTCCGTTAGTGTGGAGTCGCAGCGTTTCCTCGATCACTGCATGGAGCCAGGGAAGCCCCTGCAACGCTTCGTTTGTGAATCTCCTGGTATGTGGCAAAAGTATCCCGAATCTCGGTCTGCAGTTTCTGGAGAGTCCCGATGTTCGGAAAGGAAGAAGATGGCAGCAGTAAACAGGTTTGTGTCAGGATCAAACCCACCCACAATGAGATGGTTCGCTTGCGCGACGAGAAAGTCTTGCTCTGGGACGGGTTTGTCCTCCGGAAGTAGCAAAGAAAAATAGTCAGGGTGCTTCAGACTATCGCGATTGTTCACCCGGTCTCGCACGATTTGCTTGTTGGTCTTCAGCAAGGTTGGTAGGATGGCGGCCATGCGCGGCGGGAGTGCAAGAAAGACTAAGGGGTGAAGCAGAGGAAATCGTCGCATGACTTGGTTGAGAGTGCCCCAGAGCCCGATGCCTCGAAATGCCTGCAGAAAGAGATGTGCTTTGCCTGGATGCACTCAGAGATCGGTGTAGTTGGGGCTATTTGTGCGTGCTGGGGGCTTACCATCGCGGACATTGTGGAAGTTATGGCCATAACCCATATCGCCGGCAATGTCACAAGCGAGCCAGTCAAACCACTGAGACCTGAGGTCAGTGCCCTAGTCTCGGAGCTTTCCTCACGGTGCTACTTACATCTCTCATGTCCACTCCCTGTTCGGCAGTGCCCAGCTCTCTCAGCCGCTGGATGAAGCGGTCAATATGCTCATGCAGGGCTGGCTCCTGCTCTTTCAATGCGCGGGGGTTAAAAGCAGGTGCCAGCATCTTACGGACAGCCCGGTGCTTCTCGACGTCTGGATCCGCTGCGATTCCGGCATGTTTGCCACCGATGTGCTGGAAGTCGGTTTTGATAAACGTGGGCCTGTTCTTGGTCCCACTCATAAGAATATCTACCCCCAATCATGAGACAGACGCCCTGCGCTCGTGCACCCTTCGGGACTGAGGTGGACTGACCTACTTGCGCCTCGGGCTTCATGAACATCAGTTCATTGGGGGCGATTCGAACAACATCGCCTGGTTTGCTTTAGCCCGTGTTACTGCCGACTTTTGGATGGATCCTCAAACCATATTCCTCCAGGACTCTTTCGATGGCCCAGGGATATGATGGCCCAGGGATACCGGCCAGAGATCCTAGAATGGTGGCCAGAGAAGCAGGCTTTGCTCGCAAGTTCATTGACATGGGCAGCTTACCAGTGATAGGCGTACCACAAGTTTGATACCGCAGCGAGTCTTGGCCCAGGATACTTGGCTAGCGGGTGGAAGTAAAGAAGGTAGATGGTGCGACAAAGTGCGTAGGAGGTGACCTGCGTAGGGTCAGCTTATAGCTTTTTCCTTAGGCTGGCGCGCGTGATAGTCAGGCGTACGATTGTACATCCGAGCACCAAGTATGTCTTCAATGAGACCTGATCGAGGGTCGAGAAAAGGGACCACATCTTGGGTTTCGAATACTGAGGATAATGCATTCCGTTTCCATCGTCGGTGGCTGGGGTTTATAACGATGTGATCCTGCGAATCGTGTTGTGATAGTATTGCACCGGCAGCATGCAGGGGTCTCATTCATCGCGACTCTATCTCAGTAATCAGGCATTCGAAGAGTTCGAAGTCAAGTCATCGAGCACAACGATATCATGCTCCGGCTACCGAACAGGGAAATTGTCATTTTGATGAAGACGAGGCTGACGAGGCTGACGATGGCGAAGCTCACTCGTCCGTGCCCCGCGTGCTCAGCGGAAGTGTCCGAATACGATGGTGGTGGCGGCCCCGACCTCGGAGCGGCTGTAGGAGCTCTGCCCCAGCTCGCCCGTAAGCCCTAATGCTCGTGTGTTTCAGAGCTGCACATGTCAACCACGCGCAGCTCACATGGCGTCTGGCACTAATAGCATTAGCTGCACTGGCGTTGACCAATCCCCGATCTCCCGCATGGACACCATCTGGTGGTCTTTGCGAGATCTCCTGCGCCTGCATGATGCAGTGCAACCCCACGAGCGATCCTTCAGGTGTACGAACTTATGACGATAGGCACGCCAAGCGAGAGCAGACCTCCATCACGTAAGAGGAGTGTCAGCACGAGAGAGCTCTCCGCATGGAGCCAGCTAATCTAATCACGTACGCACACAGTACGATCCAATGGCATATTCAAGAACTAGCCGAAAGTTGGATGGCCAGCGAGGTGGACAAAGGATCCCCGATGCATGTTTGTGGTAGTTCTGAGCTTCTGAGCGGAAGTGGACGAAGTCACCTATCCAGATCCCATTCTGTGGGCCTCGAGACCGAAGTCGATGGAGGTATATGAAGGGTGGATGTAGCTCCGTGAACAACGATGCTTCTAACCCAAGAATCAGATCCCGAGGTCTTGTCACTACCCTATCATATATATAGATCAAGATAATTGCAAAGGCCCCTCCTCACAGGGCCAACGAGCCTATCGCCGTTATCGGAAGTGGTTGCCGGTTCCCCGGCACTGCAAACTCGCCATCCAATCTCTGGGAACTCCTGCGCCAGCCACGAGACCTGCTTCGTGAGATCCCTACCGAAAGATTCAACGCCAAGGCATTTCATCATCCAGATCCACAGTACCATGGCCACAGCAATGTCCTTCATTCCTACTTACTCGATGAGGACGTACGACGCTTTGATCCACAGTTTTTCAACATCAAGCCAGTCGAGGCGCAAGCCATGGACCCGCAGCAGCGCCTTCTGCTGGAAACGGTGTACGAAGGCCTCGAAGCTGCAGGGCTGACGATTGAAGGGCTTCGAGGCTCAAGGGCCAGTGTCTATGCTGGCCTGATGTGCAACGACTACGAAGCCATCCTGCTCCGGGACTTTCAACAGATTCCGAATTATCATGCCACAGGAGTGGCGCGCAGTATTGTATCGAACCGCATCTCGTACTTCTTCGACTGGCATGGACCGTCGCTGACCGTGGACACTGCATGCTCTTCGAGTCTCATTGCGGTTCATCTTGCGGTCCAAGCCCTCCGCGCCGCAGAAACAAATGTCGCTTTCGTATGTGGATCGAACCTGATACTCGGGCCGGAGAACTATGTCGCAGAAAGTAAACTGAAGATGCTGTCTCCCGACGGCCGGTCCCGGATGTGGGATCAGAGCGCGAATGGCTATGCACGAGGCGAGGGTGTAGCGGTCGTGGTGCTCAAGACCCTCAGCGCAGCTCTGGCAGACGGGGACCATATAGAATGTCTGATCCGGGAAACAGGCATTAATCAAGATGGTCGGACGCAAGGCATCACCATGCCCAGCGCTATCGCCCAAGCCTCGCTCATTCGAGATACATATGCTAGAGCAGGTCTAGATCCACGGCAAGAAGGGGATCGCTGCCAGTACTTTGAGGCCCATGGCACCGGCACTCCGGCAGGAGATCCCATTGAGGCAGAGGCCATCAACGAGGCGTTCTTTGGTCAGTATACTGTGTCGGGCACACAGGCAAGCACCCCGCTTTATGTTGGCTCGATCAAAACGGTGATCGGTCATACGGAAGGCACCGCGGGTCTAGCTGCTTTGCTCAAGGCATCCCTGGCTCTCCAGCATGGAGTAATACCTCCAAACCTCCTCTTCCAACACTTGAATCCTCGCATTACTCCATTCTACGACGCAGTCGAGGTACCAACTCAGGCCATCGCCTGGCCGGAAACCTCCCCTGGTAGTCCCCGGCGTGCCAGTGTCAATTCGTTCGGCTTTGGCGGTTCCAATGCGCACGCAATCCTGGAGAGCTACCAGCAACCAGAGAGGCTTACCGGTACGCCTCCTGTCAGTCAGGTGTTCAGTCAATTTGTGTTCTCGGCCCATTCAACCCAATCTCTGGTCGGAAACCTGCGCGAGTATTCACGGTTCTTGGAGACCAATCCGACCATCAGTGCGCAGGATCTCGCATGGACACTGCGCGCCCGGAGGTCCAGTTTCCCGGCCAAGGTCTCATTTCCAGCCAGCTCGATCCAATCTCTCAAGGCAAATATTGACGGGTGGTTGACGACCGAGGCCCAATCTGCGGGAGGTACTATCGGGGCTCGTATGACGGTATCTTCGAGCACCAATCGGCCGCGACTCTTGGTCATATTTACAGGCCAAGGAGCCCAGTATGCACGAATGGGGGCAGAGCTCATTGAGCGGTCGCCCTACGCGGCTGCAATTCTGGCCAGACTTGAAGGTCGACTTTCACAGCTACCGATAAGCGACAGGCCGCCTTGGTCCCTGCGCCAAGAGTTGCTGGCCAAGGCAGCCAGCAGTCGAGTCCATGAAGCATTGATTTCCCAGCCGCTCTGTACAGCTGTTCAAATTCTGTTGGTGGATCTCTTGCGTCTCGCTGGCGTGCAGTTCTCGACCGTGGTAGGGCACTCATCCGGAGAGATTGGTGCTGCGTACGCGGCCGGTTATCTTTCAGCCGACGATGCCATCTGCATCGCTTACTACCGTGGCCTGCACAGCAAATTAGCGCGAGGCCCTGAACAAGGGATTGAAGGAGCCATGCTTGCAGTCGGTACCTCGTTAGAAAACGCACAGGAACTGCTCAGCATGGAAGAATTTTCCGGGAGAGTGACCGTAGCTGCCTGCAATTCCTCTTCCAGCGTCACACTCTCTGGGGATAAAGATGCGATTGAGGAACTGGAAGCTATCCTTGAAGATGAAGGAAAGTTCCGCAGACGCCTCAAGGTGGACAAGGCGTATCGTTCTCACCATATGCAAATGTGCTCAGGCGCGTACCTGCAATCTCTGCGAGGCTGCAACATTCGACCGCAGCAACCGTCAGCCGACTGCGTGTGGCTTTCAAGCGTTTATGAAGATCCCGCTGTCGACCTTTCATCGACACTGCATGGTCCTTACTGGGATGAGAATATGGTTAGTCCTGTACTGTTTTCCCAGGCAGTCAAGCGAGCGTTCGCGTCCGGACCCTACGACGCGGTGATAGAGGTCGGCCCTCATCCGGCGCTCAAGGGACCAGCTACCCAAACCGCCCAAGAGGCGGGCTTCGAGGAGGTGTTATACACCAGGCTGCTCACTCGCGGGAAGGAATCCATAGGTGGTTTATCGAACGCCCTTGGACTGCTGTGGGTGCATCTCGGAGCCTCCGGCATCGATATAGATGGGTTTGAGCGCGGTTTAAGTGGCGGGCGAGACTACCAAATGGTCCTTAACCTTCCTTCATATCAGTGGCAGCACGACCGTGCATCCTGGCACGAATCGCGGATTTCGCGGTAGATGCGCCAGAGACAGCATCGGGTGCATGCATTGCTCGGGGATCTCTGCCCCGACAGCGCTCGGCATCGTATGATGTGGAGGAATTTGCTGCGACCGACAGAAATTGGCTGGATTAGGGGCCATCAGCTCCAGAGTCGAACGGTCTTCCCCGCTGCAGGGTATGTGGCCACTGCCCTCGAAGCAGTTCGATATTTTATATCCGAGCAGGATATTCGACTCATCACAATCCTCGACTTCATCATTCACCAAGCGATGGTGTTTGACGACGAGGACGCGGGGATTGAAGTGATCACCTGCCTGGACGATGTGCGCAGTGAAGAAGAGCCAAAGCGGGTCAGGGCTCGATTCACGTACTCTGCAGCCGTAGGAAAGGAGCGCGACAGGTTGACTCTGGTGGCCAGTGGTGAGGTCGAGATCCTTTTGGGCGAACCCTCACCCGATATTCTTCCCTCTCGAGGACCATCAGAACCCAACATGATTGAGGTTGAGACCGATCGGTTCTACCATGCCCTGGAGGACCTCGGATATGGCTACCAGGGACCATTCCGAGCCCTATCAGCATTGAAGCGGAAATTGGGGCGAGCCACGGGCCTCGTGGCAAGGACGCCCACAGATCCAACCAAGGCAGGGTTCCTGGTACATCCAGCCATGTTGGATGCAGCCTTCCAGTCGGTCATTTTGGCCTATAGCTACCCGAATGACGGCCAGCTCTAGTCCTTGCATGTCCCTACTCGGGTTCGGTCGGTCTGCGTCGATCCGGCGCTCTGTGGTCGGCACTGGGCCCATGTCGATGATCTGCCCTTTGAATCCTCTCTGGTTGACCATGAAGGCCCAGGCATCACCTGCGATGTCGACATCTATAACGCAGACAATGCGCGGGTCGCACTGCAGATAGAGACAGAGAGTAATACACAGGAGGGCCAGAAAGAGGAGCCGCCTTCAAGTCCGGCCCCTGGGGAGATCCCTGGCGAGGATTCACCGGCTCTAGTATCATATTCAGATTCTATTGATCACCTTTCCCAAGCAGAATCCAGTTCGCCAGAAGAGGGTCACCTTACGCCCATTTCGTCCGTGATTGACGAGCCGGCCAAATCCACCCCGAATCCGAGACCAATAGCAGCGATCCAACAATCAGGTCGGTTGTCCTCCACCCAGTCTATGTTCTGGTTTGTGCATGCGTTGATGGAGGATAAGACGACACTGAATCACACGGCGATGTTCCGATTGAGTGGGCCTCTGGATGTCGACCGACTGCGCGAGGCTGTCACGGCCGTGGCTCAACGCCATGAGGCACTACGAACATGTTTGGTGATGGATGCCAGACAGCACATCACCCAGGCAGTCCTGGAGACGTCTGTCTTGCGGTTGGAGCTCAGACAGATCCACGCGGATGACGAAGTCATGGCCGAGTACGAGGCGCTGAAGCAGCACGTGTACGACCTCACGTCCGGAGAGACCATGCGTATTGTGCTGCTGTCGGGCTCGCCGGGGCACTACCACCTCTTGATCGGATGCCATCATATCAACGTTGACGGCATAAGTTATCAGGTACTCATGGCCGACTTGGAATGCGCGTACAAGGGGGAACCTCGGGACACGCCAGTGCTTCAGTATCTTGACTATGCTGACCGGCAACGCGAACAGCACGAGCAAGGTGCATGGGATCAGGAAATTGCTTTCTGGAAGCGTGAGCTGGGACCGATCCCCAGCCCGTTACCCCCCGGCCGTCACCTTCTTGCCCATCGGCAGCCACTGCATCACTATGGAGTCCATTCCGTGAAATTGAGGATCGACACTGCTCTTGCGAACCGGATTCGTGAAGTGGTGCGAACGTGCAAGGCGACCGCGTTCCATTTTTACCTGGCGGCTTTCCGGGCTCTGCTGCATCGCTACCTGAATGCTCAAGATGTATGCATTGGGATTGCTGACGGGAATCGGAGTGGCACTGGGATGTTGGATAGCATCGGCCCATATGTGAATCTGCTGCCCTTGCGGTTTGTGGCGCGGGATGGGCAATCCTTCCAGGAGGCCCTAGTCGAGGTCAAGAGTAGAACTTATGCCGCTCTTGCCCACTCCCAGCTGCCTTTCGAAGTCCTACTGAACGAGTTGCGAGTGGCACGCTCACCGACACACAGTCCGCTCTTTCAGGCCTTCGTGGACTACCGGCAAGGGACTCGGGAGAGACAGCCGTTCGGGGACCTGCAACTGGAGATGCTTCATTTTGAGCCCGGACGAACTGCCTATGATGTCAGTCTCGATATCATTGACAACCCGGGACAAGACGCGTTGGTTGTGGTCATGGCTCAACGGAATCTGTACTCGCTAGGCGACGCAGAGGTGATGGCTCAAATCTACGAAGATATACTGCAGGAATACTCGTCCATTCCAAGTATGGCGGCCGACAAGAATTGGAGCTTTCGACCGGAGACATTACAGAAAGCGCTGGACGTTGGCAGAGGCAAGTCATATCCCCAGGAGGCTTATCCAGTGCCGTATCCCCACTAACTCGCAGCATGAAGGCCCGGTGTTTCAACCACAGTGGTCCAGGACACTCATTCACCAATTCGAAACGCAGAGACATTTGCACAAAACAGCCCTTCACGTCGCCAACGCTTCCGCTTGGTCATACGAGGAGTTAGGGCAACGCGTGGACCGCATCGCGCGGGAGCTGATCAGCTGCGGGGCACAACCAAGTGACAAGGTTGCGGTATTGCAGGACCGCACTGCAGATCCCATTGCGTCGATGCTGGCCACGATGAAAATCGGCGCGGTGTATGTTCCACTGGACCCTAACGTCCCATTAGCCCGACTGGCAAAGATTGTCCGTGATTGCGACCCGGTGGCTTTGCTGGCCGATAGCACTACCGTCACTGAAGGGGGAAGCCTCGCACAACCATCGGCAGCAGTGATGATCGATGTCTCAGAGTTAGCTGCGTATTCTAGCGGGAGTTCCCTACCGAACCACGCGGAGCCGGACGCTACAGCGCTGATTTTATATACCAGTGGCACCACAGGCACCCCCGAGGGCGTCGCTCTACCGCACTCCAGTTTCTGCCACGAAGTCGAGGTCTCGGTGTCCACCTACGGCCTGACTCAAGACGATCATATCTTGCAGCAAAGCGCCGTCAGTTTCGACATGTCTGTTCTACAGGTATTTCTAGCACTGGCGCAGGGTGCCACATTATGCATGACTTCGGCGGCAATGCGGGCGGATCCATCTGCTATCAGTGCCTTCATTACACAGGCCGGGGTGACATTCACCTGTGCTACCCCGTCCGAGTACCAAAGTTGGCTACAATCTGGTCACCGGCGTGAGAGTCTGCGACTGTCTGCCTGGCGCACAGCTCTCACGGGAGGAGAGCCAGCCACCACGGCCCTACTTCACAGCTTCCGCGACCTGGGAAGACCTGAGCTTCGTTTGTATAACGGGTATGGACCAACTGAGACAACGTGTTGCTCCACCAAAATGGAGCTGTCGTACCAGAATGCGTTTCTATATGCCGAGTGTGTTCCAGCAGGGCGCCCCTCTGCGAATGAAGCGATCTACATCGTCGACCAAGCAATGCGGTTACAACCTGTCGGGCAGCCCGGAGAGATTCTCATCGGGGGAGTGGGGGTCGCGTCAGGTATGTCAACAATGAGGGGTTGACCAAAAGAGGCTTCTTAGCGGACGTCTTCGCAAGTCCCAAGGACCGACAGCAAGGCTGGACAACAATGTATCGGACCAAGGATTACGGACATCTCCGCCCGGACGGCTCACTCATCATCGAAGGTCGCGTAGACGCAGACACGGAGATCAAGCTCCATGGAGTGAGAACCGACCTGATGGATATTGAGAAATCGATATTGCAGGCGGCTGAGGGGACTCTTTGCAATGTTGCTGTCTCGGTGCGCTCGGCCGCGGAGAAGACGTTTCTGGTTGCGCACTGTGCCTTCTCGCCCACAGTATATCAATCAACAGCAGAGCAAGAACAGTCCCTGCAAGCTCTACTGCCTCAGCTGCCGCTCCCGCAAGGCATGTGTCCTTCCGCATTGGTCACAATAGACCAGATGCCGTTGACCAGCGCAGGGAAGCTTGACCGTCATGCGCTGGCTCACCTCTCCCTTCCAGCATCAGCCGAGTCCAGGCGTGAAGCTACGGCTACCAGCACGCTATCCGACGCGGAGACAGAAATGAAAGGTCTCTGGGAAGAGGTGATTCCTGAGGAGCTCTGGAGCCATCATCGGGTCGACAGCCAGACGGACTTCTTCCATGTTGGGGGGAGCTCGATGCTCCTGGTCGATTTGCGGGCTCTAATCAGCAATCGCATTGGTACATCGATCCCGCTTATCCGGCTTTTCGAATCCAGCACGCTGAAAGGCATGGCATTGCTCATCGCCAGGACGACACCAGGAGACACGACAGTCGGCGTTCTCGACTGGAAGACGGAGACCAGCCTCACTCCCGACCTTGCACGCATCGTTGGGCCTCCTTTGCCCTCGACATCCCTGCTGCGATGTCCACCAAGGGTGATTGTTCTGACCGGAGCATCTGGGTTTTTGGGACAACACTTGCTGCGACACCTGCTTGCCCAGCAGCAGCCCGTCGTTGACCAGGTAATTTGTATTGCAGTACGTCAATTAGCGGATCGAGCTCATCTCTTTGCCGGAATGGACCGGCAGCGGGTCGTCTGCTACGAAGGAGACTTAGCGGCGCCTCGCCTGGGGCTGAAGGAAGACGACGCCCAGCGGATCTTCGGCACTGCGGACGCGGTGATTCATAATGGGGCGGATGTATCCCATCTCAAGAACTACCATACTCTCAAGGGTGCGAACGTGCAATCGACTCAGGAGCTCGTTCGGCTGTGCCTTCCCCGGGGTATTCCCCTCCACTACATTTCCACCGCCGGCGTGGCCATGTTCACCACGCGCGAGGCTTTCGCCGAAGTCTCCGCTGGCGATGCGCAACCTCCTTCTGACGGTTCTGACGGCTACACGGCTACCAAATGGGTGAGCGAGCTGTACCTCGAGCAGGCCAGTCAGACGTTCCAGCTGCCGGTCTGGATTCATCGGCCATCCAGTGTCGTCCGTCAAGAGCGCGCGGGGGCAGCAGAAGCCATTGACCAAGACCAAGACAACGTGGACGCAAGGCCCATGTTCGATCTGCTCCAAAATCTCCTCCGTTATTCCCGGCACCTAAAGGCCGTGCCCGTCTCCACCAACCTGAAAGGCTCCTTGGACTTGGTCTCGGTGCAGAATGTGGCGCGCGGAGTGGTGAAAGCGGTGGTAGCCCAATCGATCGACCAGCGTGAAGTCGCGTACAGTCATCTGACCGGGGATTTTGAACTACCGATTGATGGATTGAAGGAGTATCTTGAGGGGGAAACGGGAGAGGCGTTTGCGATGCTACCGATTCGCGAGTGGGCGCGTCGAGCGGAGGGGGCGGGGCTTCATCGCGCCGTGGCCACGGTCTTCAGCCGGGTGGATGAACTGGCACTGCCGCTGCAGTTCCCACGATTTGGGCACACGAACGGGTGGAAATGGATGCATGGAAGTGAGGAGTAAGAGCGATAGTTGGTGGTGGTGGTGGTGTTCAATTGTTTGTTGTGGTCGCCCTCGCGGTCACGTGGGCTAGTCTTCTGGACTAACTCGATAGGGTTAGTTAGTTAATGTACGGTCCATCTGACTAATCCTTCTCCCCCATGCATGCATAACCCATTCATTGCTAGGGAGGCATCAACTTATCAACTTATCAACTCATCCTCTATGAAATCACGCAACTGAGTCAACAGCCATTGCCCCGCACGCTTATATTAATCCTGCAGGCACTTCATCTGCAGGAGCCAGCGGATGTCACCCTCAGCTCCGCCCCTAAAATATTGGCAATATTGGCAAGATTGGCTTCAGTGCCCCCTCGGGTGGCACGCCATTGCCGATTTGCCAAGGTGTTCAGCACTGACCGGGTCACCAATGGGCTGTAATGCTTCTCTGCGTCTCCCATCTCTCTATCTCCTCGAAGTCGGCTCGAGAAGCATTTGGAAATCCGCGCATAGTCTCTTGGTTGATCGGAAGGCATGGCGAGTATGCCGTGGAGATGCGCAAGCATCAAATTCGGGGACGTCAGGGTCAACCTCGCGTCAATGGCGCAATGGATGTGGTGATGATGTTAAAGGAGATGAAATGCGCCAACCCCTCTGCGCTAAGGCGAGTGCCAAGACCCTGCATGGAGGGTCTTCACAGTCTTCAGCCTGCAGAACTTTTCAGGGCACCGCGCTGGTCCACCGGAGTCCGATGCATGTCGACATATTTCACCGCATCGTTGCCATCGCGAATGGTCTCAACTGGTGATTCTGGTCTACTCAATGCTCATCGTGCGATGACCAGGATACAATGAGGTGAAATGATGCGATGGGGGTGTCTTCGAGGATGAGGATGCGGATGGAGAATGGAGGGCTCCTTCTGAGAAGCATAAATACTTCGTGAATTGCCCTTTCGAGTGCTTCTTCTCCATCATCACCAGCCAGCTCTCTGCTCCATCGCGGATATCTCTAGCTTCAATACTCCAACTTCCTCAATTACTCACCTCGAGTCTCTATCCGATCCATCAAGATGAAGTTCACCGCCGCTATTGCTGCTAGCATCCTCGCTGGTACCGTTGCTGCCATCCCCAACCGCGGCCTCGAAGCTCGTGTCAAGGCTCGCGCGTCTGGCACTCGAGGCTCTCGCCCTCTCGAGGCTGTCAACCGCCCCGCGACGGTCAAGAACCAGACCAACGTGGAGTACAGCTCCAACTGGTCTGGTGCCGTCCTGGAGAGCCCCCCCTCGGCTTCTGCGACCTACACGGCTGTGACTGGTACCTTTACTGTCCCCGAACCCACCGGCACCGGTAGCGGCGCTGCCTCCGCCTGGGTGGGCATTGACGGGGACACCTACGGCAACGCCATTCTTCAGACCGGTATCGACTTCACCCTCACCAATGGCCGCGCTTCCTATGATGCCTGGTACGAGTGGTACCCCGACTACGCCTACGACTTCAGCGGCAGCATCGACATCTCTGCCGGTGATGTTATCGTCGCCATCGTTGAGTCGTCCTCTTCTACCAGCGGGACTGCTATCATCGAGAACAAGAGCACTGGCCAGACTGTGACCAAGAAGCTGTCTGCTCCTTACTCCAGTGCCAAGCTCGGTGGTCAGAATGCTGAGTGGATCGTGGAAGGTAAGTCTGAGCCTGAGTGGGGATTTGACTAGCATGGTTATCGCCGGTACTAATCCTATGCATAGACTTCGAGGAGAATGGCTCCCTGGTCAACTTGGTCGACTTCGGCACCGTGACCTTCACCGGCGCCGTTGCCCAGGCTGCTGGCGGCGAGAGCGTCGGCCTCGACGACGCCACCGTCATTGAGATCGAGCAGTCCGGCAAGGTTGTGACTGATGTCACTATCAACAGCGACTCCTCGGTCACTGTCTCCTACGTCTAAGTCATCTCGGTGACTTTCGTTGACGGAGCACATGGCAGCAGGTGAACCTGCCTGTGCGAGCACAGTTGGCGGAGGACACGGGCAGCGGGTTCTGCAGTGCTGGGGATGGTGAAGCGGGTTCAAGAAAGGCAATTAGTGGCTCTTTAGATATGGGTGTGGCGGCTTCCGTCCGCAAGTGTATCTTTGCAGGTCAATACGAGACACGATAGCTTCCTGGATTGTTGCGCATACAAACTTCTTTCCCCAGTAGTGTTGATCCTTGCAGCGCCAACATAGTAAATCCACGACTGTACGAGGAGTTCTTATGGGAGAGCCGACGCTGCAGGAGGTATAAGTCTAAGACCATCTCGCGAAAATAAGATGATTCTGCGAGGCTCTATCCTCCCTGGCCAGGCAATCAGAACTCAGCATGAAGACTCAGAAATTGTTAGGAACTCAATAATCGCCGAACCCCAATCCTGCTCAAGTGATCAGATTTACAAGGGCTTCCTGATAATCATACACAACCATTTGAGTCATGATCTCTGTATATCTCGGTGTTTCATCACCACGTGAGCATTGTCGCAAGTTGTACGAAACATTAGCCAGCCAGGGATTGCAGTTGCTTTTGGCTCGGCGGAATGAGTTATATATTCTGCCCGTTTCAGGCCTTGCCACTAGGGATCCAGTTCGAGGGCACGTTTAACCTCCAGATTACTTCGAGCGAGAACCATACAATTAAGAATGTAGTCTCCGTCTTGTCCGACGGCCATACATCAAGCACATGGATGGACCTTGTTGCTATAATTGGGGGTGGCTAAGGCCCCTGCGGCGGGAGTAGCCGTGGTCAACAAGACTACAAGACTGAAGATACATACATAGTATGTGTTCCTCCGCAATCTCCCCTTACCAAGCAACCCACCCACAAGCAACTCAGGGGGAGTGCCCTCACAGCCACGATCGTCATACCCGACTAAATTATGCTACGCTTCCTTCACATTGGACAGGAATATGCCCGTGCGTCAGGTACAGCCTCCCCCCAACCAGGAAATACCCGTCTCTTCTATTGGAGTAGTCTTCCTGGCTATGAAGCATGACGTGGGCACAAAAACAGCGAGCATGAAGGAATGATTACGTCGTGGGCACCGGGTCGCTGGGCCGGAGCCAGATCGGGTCTTGGCCAGATTGAGATGGTCCTAATGCGGTTTAGCGCCCCACAACTCTGGGCGTGCGTCATCTTGACGGGTGCGGAATGGCTGCATTCCCACCAGTGATTTGTGTGATTTATAGTCCGGGGATGCTCCCCCCGGTTGCGGTCTTCACTCAGTCCATTATAATCAATTGATTTCCACAACCTCCACTATCTCCTCTCATCTTTCTTCCCACCACAAATTCTCTCACACACCCCCTCACAACCACCCATTATGATGAACCGTACACCCAGAGTCGCGACCCGCTGCCTCAGACAGCAACGTACCAACTTCCTGAAGAACCGCTACTCCAACGCCCGTTTCCAGTCCTCTTCGGCAGAATCTAGCTCCAACGGTAGCAGCAGCAGCAGCAACCCCGCCCTGGTTGGTGGTCTGGCTGGTGGTGCGGTCACTCTCGTCGCGGGCTACGCCTGGTACCACTTCTCCGGCGCCCGCACGGTGGTCAAGACGGTCAAGCAGACCCAGAACTACGCCGACCAGGTGAAGCAGGGGATCGTTCAGAATGTACCCGAGCCCGACAGGGCCTTCGACTGGCTCCGCGACACCGTGAAGAGCTACGCCGGCTTCATCCCGGGAGCGCGCAAGTACATCGATACCGCGTTCGACGACCTCGAGAAGATCAAGCAGAAGCACGGCAGCGAGTTTGACGCGATTGTTCGCGATGCCTACTCGGAGATCAAGGCCGTGACTAAGAAGGGCGGCTCCAACGCAGATACCGCCTTCGAGGCCCTGCGCGTGCTACAGAAACACCTCGGTCGCTTGGCCGAGCTGTCCGGCGACGCAGCGGAGGATGTCCTCGACAACCACCCCTGGCTGCAGGAGAAGGTCGGAGGCAGCTGGGACCAGCTGAAGCAGATGGGCGACGCGTACGGCCCGCAGGCCAAGGAGGAGGTCAACAAGACCTGGGAGCAGGTCTCCAGCATTGCCAAGGAGGGATTCAGCGTGCAGTCGGCGGAGAAGGTGCGCCAGTTGATCCAGGAGAAGAAGGAGAAGCTGCAGAAGATTGGCGATGAGGCGTGGCAGAAGGGCCTCGAGGAGAGCAAGCAGTACCTGGACAAGAACCCCCAGCTGAAGGAGCTGGTGGAGAACAACGCCGATGCGCTGAAGCAGGGCAACTTCGGCGAGCTGTGGGGTCTGGTCAAGGACTCGGCCTCGTCCGGCAAGACGGAGCAGGTGGAGAAGTTTGTCAAGGAGAAGGTCGATCAGGCCAAGAACACCAGCTCCTTCGACCTGGACATGTGGACGAAGATGGTCCCTGGCGGATCGGACATCCTGAACCAGCTGCAGTCGCTGCGCACGGTGGGCGAAAAGAAGGGCAAGGAGGCGGAGGGAGTGCTCAAGGAGACGGTCGAGGAGCTGCAGCAGGTGTTGAAGAAGCGAAAGGACCAGATCGAGAAGCTGGCGAGTGAGGCCAAGGAGGAGAGCAAGTAGAGCATGACTCGTTGTATTTTAGAATTATGTGTATCATATACCCAATGCCATATTTTATGATTCATGATTGTGCCTATGCCTGCCTGATGGATCCCACTCAGTCTAGACAGGGATTCTCACTCAGCGGATGACTAACCACGGATTAGTCAAGCAAGGGGAGTCTGGACCCTTTGGTGTTACGAAGCCAGTGCAGTGAGTGGCCCCTCAGATCATCCATGAATCAGCCAGTTAGGGCTGGCCATTTGCCCGAGGGATTTCCATGGTTTGCGGGGTCAAGTCAAGTCAGCAGACGGCCCCATTCCCTCCCCAGTGAGAAGTGATGATGTCGACAACCAGTGGTGAAATGAGCATTATTCACTTCAGCTGTCAATGCCGATGATCCCCCGCTTCGCTTCTTGCTTCCAATCCCCACCACGTGTCTGGCCCTTTGTGGTCAGTCAGCAAATGAAGGGCGAGGCAGTTGTCCATTACTCATGCCGTCTTGGCCAGCCTGGCTGTCCTACCCAGCCTGCATTCACTGGGAGGGTATAAATACAGGTATACAGTGCGGGGTTGGGTTTCTTCCCCTCTTTTCTGATTTCCATTCCTCCATCCTCTCATCTTCATCGTCACCTTCATCTTGAGTATCATTTTGATCGATTATCATCATCATCACCACTATCACTACATTATTGCATTTCAACATCCTCCTCCTCAGATCTCTTGACTGAGCAACCCCTTCCCTCTCAAAAAAACCTAACACCACCATCATGGGCGAGTCCAAGTGTCCCTACAAGGCCCACGCCAATGTGGCCGGCGGGGGCACGCGTAACACCGACTGGTGGCCCGAGCAGCTGAAGCTCAACATCCTCCGCCAGCACACCTCCACCACCAACCCATTGAAGGCCGACTTTGACTATGCTGCTGCCTTTCAGAGCCTGGATTACTTTGCCCTCAAGAAAGACCTCCATGCCCTGATGACCGACTCCCAGGACTGGTGGCCTGCCGACTTTGGCCACTACGGCGGTCTCTTTATCCGCATGGCCTGGCACAGTGCTGGCACTTATCGGGTCTTCGACGGCCGTGGCGGGGGAGGGCAGGGTCAGCAGCGATTTGCCCCCCTCAACAGCTGGCCCGACAACGTGAGTCTGGACAAGGCTCGTCGGCTCCTGTGGCCCATCAAGCAGAAGTACGGCGACAAGATCTCCTGGGCCGATTTGCTGCTGCTGACGGGCAATGTGGCCCTCGAGTCCATGGGCTTCAAGACCTTTGGGTTCTCGGGTGGCCGCCCGGACACCTTCGAGGCCGATGAGTCGGTCTATTGGGGTGGGGAGACAACCTGGCTGGGCAACGATGTCCGGTACTCCGATGGCAAGCCCGGGGTGG